ATAAATGTTCCTCCTTTATTTTCTACGTGGAGCTATTTGAGACAGGACGCAGCTCACATCTGTAATATTCCTATCATTTTTTTTTAATTTATCTGTTGTGACTTCGCGTCTTCGAACGCGTGAAAAAGACCCACCTTCTTACGTGCGCCTCAAACGCTAAGCGGCGTCTGCGTCAACATGAAACGCTCATGGTGCGCCCCCGTAACTTTCCACAGCGTTACGAGACACGCGCCGAAACGGACTACATCGCGTAGTGCTACATGTGCCGCCTCCGTAGCTTTCGTTTCAGTTCCAAAAAAAAACGTTTTCGCCGAGTATATCGAAGCGCTATTCTACGTACGATAACAATTTACATCGCCACTGGATCACTGCGTGAAGCGAAAGATGATGTGTACGTATTTTTTTTTTTTCTTCGGCACTGAGTGATAGTACAATTGCTTGTCGGAGACCACTTCGAACTAGGAGATCATTTGTTTATGAAATAATGTTCATTTCAATTCATGTGAAGTTACATATTACCCATGACTTGTCGACAACGGTTAGCTAAGGTTTTGCCAACACTCGTCATGCATTTAGACTCAACGCGTGCTCATTATGCTAATTAAATTGAAAAAAATTAGCAGATCCCACGCACAGTGGGAATCAATGATATACGAAGCATGAATGAGGAAGGTTGATAGGTCACTCTAAAATCAGCACAACGTTACGAGGTGGACGTAAAATATGCCGCACATGACTTCATCATATGATTATCATGTTTGCGCGTGTCATTTACCTTCGTCGTCTATTTACATCACGTGATACCGAATTTTCTATATGTGGAGCCAGTGAAACGTCCGCAAGCACACTATGAGCGTAGCAAGTAGTCATGTTTTACATGACACACATGTCTTGATTATCGTGTTTGGACGTGTCATTTACCTTTGTCATTCGTTCGCGTCACGCAATACCCAATTTGGTATATATGAGGCTATCGAAAAGGTCGTTAGCCCATCATGAGCGTGATATGTTGCTATGTTCTTACATCACACGGATGTCATCATTTTCATGTTTGCACCAGTCATATACTTTCGTCATCCATTGACGTCACGTAACACGAAATTTTGTATATATGAAGCTAGTGAAACGACCGTGATCGCACTATGAGCGTAGCATGTATAGTCATGTTACATGACACGCTTGTCATGATTCTCATGTTTTGACGTGTCCTTTACCGTTGTCGCCCGTTCGCTTCACGTAATATCAAGTCTGGAATATGCGAAGCTAGCAAAACAGCCACGAACGCATCATGATCGTGGCATGTGGTCATGTTGTTACATGACATGCATCTCCTGATTATCATGTTTGCACCTGTCATATACCTTTGTCATTCATTCATGGCCCGTAATACCAAATTTGGTATATGTGAAGCTAGCGAAACAGCCACGGGTGCATCATGAGTGTGACATGTAGTCATGTTCTAACATGACATGCATCTCATGACTCATGTTTGCACCAGTCATAAACCTTCGTCATGCATTCACGTCCCGTAATACCAAATTTGATATATGTGAAGACAGCGATACGACCGCCAGCGCACCATGAGCGTCGCGTGTAGTCATGAATCATGAGTTACATGTCATATGTGTCACGATTTCAACGTTAGAGTCTCTCACGTGTTTGCCATGAAGTCATGTCGAACCATACCAGTTTTTGAACATGCCATGTGAACGAAACGACCGCGAGAGCAGCAAGACCACGAAATGTAAATCATGACATTCATGACATACATATCATGATAATCAGTTATGACTAGTCACACAGTGATGCCCGTCATACAATGATGTCATGTCATACGAAATTTGGTACCGATACCATTAACGAAACGGCCAGGAGAGTTAAAAGTCGTAGGTGAATAGATAGATAGATAGATAGATAGATAGATAGATAGATAGATAGATAGATAGATAGATAGATAGATAGATAGATAGATAGATAGATAGATAGATAGATAGATAGATAGATAGATAGATAGATAGATAGATAGATAGATAGATAGATAGATAGATAGATAGATAGATAGATAGATAGATAGATAGATAGATAGATAGATAGATAGATAGATAGATAGATAGATAGATAGATAGATAGATAGATTCAAAGTCACCGAAGTTCGCTAAGAAATGCATCGCATTTAATAGCATTTATTTTTATTCTTGACAACCTTTACTGTAGGTACATGAAAGTGGTAAGGGTTATCGTTCCACTCAAGAGAGCTCCGTGTAAATATGGAATCATAATAACCAGTATACAATGAAATAAGCCACCTCTAATATTAATTTCTCATTTTCTCATTGGATCAAGCCATGTTGTAACCTTCTCGATGAAGGTTCAATTAAAAGAAAGCGTTTTTCTTCGCGAATGCAAACTGGGTAACTAATGTCATAGAGTAATGCTGTAATCGACTGCTCCGTACAAGTTCTAGCCACCCTAGTGCAAGAAGTGTGGCAGCTTGGGCTAGTTGGTATGGCATGACGATAGTTATAGCGCGAGAACAAAACGACGACACAGAGACAAGAGACAAGAAGCGCTCGTGTCTTTCGTGTCCTTCTTGTCTCTGTGTCGTCGTTTTGTTCTCGCGCTATAACTATCGTCACGCCTAGTGCAAGATCGTTCATTTTATGGGATGCTAACGGCGCCTGCCGGAAACGTTACAAACCACTACAACTTGCTTTTAGCCTCCGAGACTGCTTTGGTACTATAGCAGTCTTAGAGGCTACGGGATGTAACCAATCATTTTGAAGTCCTCTTTTTTTACACACAATCGCCCAAATCGAGTTTTCAACTGTGCGCTGTTTGTGTTATTTGCGGTGTTATTACAGCATGGTTTTATAACTTTTATATCTTAGCAGCTCAATATTACGACGTCAATTTTGTGTCAAGTGTACATAAAAGCGTGGCCTTCGAGACTAGTAATTTGTTAAAAAAAACTTGTTTTTCAAAAACTGTCGCATCTCAGCATCCATTTTATAATAAATAATAAGTTTACTTCTTTTATTGTTATGTTTTTACAATTTTTGTAAGTCGAAAATGATTTTGGAGCCAACTTAGTCTAGAAACGTTGTCTGGAGCCTGAAAACACTTCATTGTCGCCATGTTTTGCTGAAGCATTTCTTTGCTGATTGCTGCCAATGCGTTTAATACCCTGACGTTTATGTCACGAAATTAGTACATCTTAACAAAGCACCGAATAACCCAGCGAAGTCGGGTTAGTTATAACCTCCTGGAAGCGGCGTTGCACCATTAGCGGTCGCAAATGTAGCAACTTTGGTCTAGGCTACCATGGCTAAACGTAAGTGCGCCCTCCAAGATGTAACATTCTGTTAACGGCGTTTTCAGAGGCCGTTTATGTACATGGCCTCTAAGATGTGCAAATGCACCGAATTTTTTTTTCTTCTTGATTTCTCGGTACAACCTTGGGCTTGTCAGAAAAAGGATGAAAAAAGAAAACACTGTGTTCGGATGATTGGTTAGTTACCTCAGTGAAACGTAGGAAGAAGTGCTACACAATTATTTTATTTTTCACTTAATTTGTTAATTATTTGAACAAACAGTTTTGAAGACCCAGCACGAAAACACACGACGTTTTTTTTATTTATTTGTTTATTTATTAATTTATTTATCTATCTATTTATTTATTTTTTATTTGCCTAGATATGCCGCTGGCCTAGAAATATAAATACTTTTTTTTTTTTTTGCAATCTCAGCGAGTTCTGCGCGAGTCGCAAAGAACTCAACAGCTTTCAATATTTCACAACGCTAGTAGCCAACATGAGCAGCGTTTGTGTTTACTACTTCTACTTCCTTGACTTTATCATTTATGCTTACTTTTTTTTTCCCGGTCGCTCGAAGTCACGCGTTTCCGGGGTAATTATTTTATCGTTTACTTCGTCATCGTGAGCGTTCGGCGCACGTATACCGGTCTAATAGCCATAATTTGTTCCGAAAATTGTGATGTACATGTAGTATAGTGCTCGAATGCGTTTGCATCCATTGACGCTGTGGCTCAGAAAGCGCCTGTGGCAGCGACAGATTATAGATAGCGCCAATAAACTAATAGCGTAACGACCCTATCGGCAGAAAAGGTAAGTGACATGAGATAGCCGCGCTGTATGCGTGTTCTTTGAATATGTATGTTGCAAGAGTAGCACGCGTTTTGTTGCTCGGTTTTTGTCGGTTGAATTTTTATATTTTCTCGTTGGTCTTGGCGCTCAAATTCTCGTTCATGCTTTAGTTATGTCCCAGATAAATACGGTATCATGAAACATTCTCGGTTCATCAACTCTATGGTGACGAAAGAAATGAATATTTTTCTTGGGTTTGTTGTAGCTAAATCAAGTAAATGATCTTTTTAAACATAAAATTGATTAGATCTCAATCAGCTGACTTTATTGGTAACAACTAGTTTAATTATTCTAGCTAGCTCAAACTGCGCAGCCTGGTGCGCGTTTAGGTATATCTAATTAGATCTAATTACAAAATAACGTACGCTGTTTCACGGCACGTGAGCACAACGGCGTTGGCTACCGCAACAGCCTTGCCCCATAAGAGTTAAATCAGGAATACCAAATGTCAAACACGTGAGTGACCGTTGATTTGTAAACAACATACGTCGCCCTTCAGCTAAAACAATGAAAAGCGCCTTTCTCGCGGTTCTCAGTATTTCATATATTTCGTCTCGTGTCGCTGATATAGCGCATTTTTTAGCGTCTCACAGAAGTTCGATCTACCAAGTCAAAATTACGAAAATCTCGGTACATCGCAGCGGCGTAACGAAACAATATCATTCAAAAACACTCCCGTTTAGACGTTGCAATTTTTGTTTAATGAAACAACCGCTCAAACCGGCTAGCAGACGAAATTAGAAATTTTTAAAACGAAACCGCGGTTGCTAGGTGCGCGTGACGTCATCACGGAATTTATCCGACTCGTTTCGAAACTTCTCCGAGAACAGCCGACGAATCCCGAACGCGAGCCGAGGGTGACGTTTAGGTCAATGCCTGAGCGCTGCGCGTACGGAGTTACGTTACCGCCGGAGTACCGCTGGTTATCGAAGACAAGCCCGGCGCCGTGCTACGGAGTCGAGTCGAAACCAGCAAACATGGTCACCCGGAGGCCTGAGCCCGGACGAGGTCGGCCTCGAGTGACTGTGTAGGGCAGACGGTGCGGTATCGACAGCTGAATGCTAGGCCTAAACAGCACTGCCGTCTGCCGAAGAAGCGTGATGTAGAAGTCACAAGGAACTCCGATCTTCTAAAGCTTACGTTATAATGAGTGGACGGCCGAGGACGACTTCCTTTGCTGAAGGGAACAAGCAGCCTCAACAGCCGAATTTTCTCGCTGGAGTGAAAATAACCAGTAAGTACAAATCGTAAGCCTAACGTTCCTCGTAACATGGCGCAGCGCGGCGGGGCCGGTGACTCGCGATCGTAGAAAAAAAAAAAAAAAGCAGGGCGGGGGGCAGCGTGGCACAGCGCGTCGTCCTCTCTGTCTCTTTCTTGCATGCCCATGGGGGATCGGGCACTGCGCCACGTTAGATTCGGATCTGGATCTGGCTACCAATATCATAAACGAGCTCGACCTGGTGCCCGGTAAGTGGTGGTGTTCGCGGGCGCGGCAGCGTCGGCCCCCGGGTCGTGCGAATCTCCAGTGCCCGTGGCTCGGCGCGCAGGCAAGGACGGCGCCAAGGTGACCACGGTGCTGGCCACCCCGGGCCAGGGGCCGGACCGGCCGCAGGAGGTGTCTTACTGCGACACCAAGGTGATCGGCAATGGCTCCTTCGGGGTGGTGTACCAGGCGCGGCTGCTCGACTCTGGCCAACTGGTGGCCATCAAAAAGGTGCTGCAGGACAAGCGCTTCAAGAATCGCGAGCTGCAGATCATGCGCCGCCTGGACCACTGTAACATAGTGAAGCTCAAGTACTTCTTCTACTCGAGCGGCGACAAGAAAGACGAGGTGTACCTGAACCTGGTGCTCGAGTACATCCCCGAAACTGTGTACCGGGTGGCACGCCACTACAGCAAGTCCAAGCAGACCATCCCGATCTCCTTTATCAAGGTGAGACCCATCTGCGTGGCTGCTGCAGCATGCGGGGACGCTAACATGTGCTCGTCTCCTTGTGCAGCTCTACATGTACCAGCTGTTCAGAAGTCTGGCATACATCCACTCTCTGGGCATCTGCCATCGGGACATCAAACCGCAGAACCTGCTCCTTGACCCCGAGACGGGAGTCCTCAAGCTGTGCGACTTTGGCAGGTGAGACGGGCAGTGCATAAAGTTGCATGTGTAACAGATACACTAATAACCCGGTGGAAACCTGTCACTTCAGTCGCACAATATGGACAGGAAGCAGCATTGCGATATGCAGGAAATGGAATGAAGGCACGTAACTTTTTATCATTACAAACAGTTTAACAGTGTGCAGAAACCTGGGCTGGTTGTTCTTGCCAAGCTTTAGACACAGGTACATTTGTGCAAGTTTCGAATGTGCCTTAAATCCTTATCTTATACTAGTCAGTTGAGGCTGTGTCGACAGCTAGCTGTGTGAAGGCTTCATCAGTGTGGATGCGTTGGTGGATCTGCTGTTGGTCCCTCTCTGGGCATTGATTTATGTCCGCAAGTTCAGAAAGACTGTTTGCATAATATATGTTGCTTAAGAAGCACCCGGCGCCTCTTTTCATCATTGCTTTGCGATCAAATTCAAAACCTTTATCTAGCATGATCTTTATGGCAACTTAGCAAAACTTGTATATTCATGGCACTACTATTTTTCTCTTGAGTGTTGCGATGGGATCTTTGTGTTTCGAGTTGAGCAGGTTGTGTGGAGTGCTGTTGTGGTAGGCTTTTTAAATTCTTTCGATTTCGGGGCCACAAATGCCACAACAGTTTGAACTTCTCATAATGGATTGAAAATATTTTGCAAAGCACAACGAATGATAATAGTGAAAACATGTATCAGCCAGAAGTTCTTGCTTTTCATTTAAACCATGAAGTTCATGTATTTGTTCTGGACATATGCATGATGAATATGTGAACAGCTCCTGTGTGAAAAATTGTTTCTTCACATTTATTCATAGTACTTCTCTTCTGCACAAGTATTCCATTTGTACTCATTGCATTGATGACTTAGTGTTGCTTGCAAGATTGCCATACGAAAGAAGACTTGTTAATGTTCATTAATGCATTCAGGGACATAATGCGTTTGAAGTCTGTCCTTTAAACGAATTTCTACGTATCAGCATTTAAAGATCGGCTTTCACGGAAGAAATAACCAAAGTTACATCCAAAGCACTTGTGCTGTGGCTGTCGTATCTTAACTCATTCTTTTAGTGCTTCCATATTTAATAACCATGTATATACATTTATTACAATGCAAATGGCACTCCCATGCCTAAGCTCTAAAGCCAAGAAGGGATGCATTGCGGTCCATTTTAAGCTGCATCTTGAATTTTCCTTATTGCACTATTTGCAATGCATTTCATTTTTCATCATTTGTGGTATAACACACGACTACGTCAAATTGGGGGCTAATTCCTTGAAAGCTGATTGCAAAAGTATGGATACCTAAGCCACTTACATTCAGTTACGTAGAAAGGTGACATTATTTCCAAGAACAGTATTTTAGTATTTGTAGTTAAGTTCCATTTTGTTTCTTCTTGTTGTAGTGTAACTAATAAAATAATGTATTTATTTTTACTGCTTACCTGCAATTTTCACTGCTATACTATGCAGTGAACTCGTGGTTCAAAACTGGAATCTTTTTGCATAATTTCAATTTGCACAGGTTGGTTTGTGGAACAGGGCAAGAGGAAATATTGGGAGTTAGGCCCATTCTCTTTAAACCTCAGTTAGAACTGCCGTCACCGAGATCCATTGCAACAGTGGCCGTCTCTCCCTGTTCTGCGCACACATTTCCAGTGCCATAACCGCCATCATAGCTCCCGAGGGTCACACCCACAGCTACAAAACGGCTGCTGTCGTTATCTTATCTACCACACATCATATCAGTGGTGCGACCTTTACACGTGATGCTTCAGTTGGCACTTATTGTTTCTATTGTGCAACATTGCATTATGTTGTGCCTTTTTGCTGTACAATCGTTTTCTTGCTGCTCGTAATTAACCCAGCATAGCTTCCAATGAGGATGCCAACATTTAAAAACTCGTGTTAAAAAAAAGATGATCAAAACTGGCATTGCTTTTGTTACCATCTACCAAGGTATGAAAGAAGGCTATATTGATTTTCGTTTCACTATGGCATGTGATGCAGACACCGAATTAATTTTGCATGTGCTTTACTACTTCTTGCTACCTGTTGCAGTGGCCTAAATATGTGCCTTTAAAACATTACCTTAATATGTCTGTAAAGTTGCTCATTTACTAAACGAAACCTAGCTATTCACTTGCAACACTAGACATTTTCACTGCCCTTATTATGCAGTTTTCTTCAACAAACCATTTTTCCCCTTGATTTTGGCTTCTACCGCATTGCCAGCTACTGCATTGGCGTGGTTACACATGGGCATTATCTCCTTTTTTTTGTTTTGTAGTGGAGGTTTTATATGCACAGGCCACACACCACTTTATGAGCAGCTAATTGCAGTAGTTGCAAAATTTCATTGGCTAATGTGTGGCTGCAGCAGGTTGCCTTCACATGTGCTCAGCATAAATGCACAAACTATCTGTGCAGCAAATACCAAGTCACATTGTATATTAAATGCTTAAAACAATTTGAAATGTTAATAGCCTCATTAAGTTTCTATATAAATGCTTCTGTTTGAATATTTTTCTCCTTTCTGAAAATTTTTGAGAGGACAGTAATGCACATGCATACTTCTTATGCCACATTATGAAGACGGTGTTTGTTATATGTGTCATTTTTTTTTTTCTCGGAACCTATTCCGCTGACTTTTTTCAAAATGGTGCCAAACATTTTTTTTAAGTCGTCCTGAATGTTGTTCTGCAAATTCTAAAAAATAAATTAAAGTATTACCTTACAAAGGGTTTAACTAGAACAAAACTATGGACTGCATTTACGGAGTAATTAGAATTCCATTTAGTGGTTTTTATTGCAGTTGTCCAGCTTGCCATATAAATAGGGGAGTAACGAGCATTTTGAGTGCATCTGATTGCCCCCAATCTCGTCACAACACACGTCCTGTTTCTTTAAAAATGTCGGAAGACTGATGATTCACTTAGCGAATAAAGTATGTTGTTTATAGTATAGGTGCATGCAATGCATTAGGCATAACTGGTTGTAATAGCGATGGACCAGTGCTATGTCTTGCAGGTGTAAATTTAGTAGGGTAATAACTAGTTTCTGTCTCCTGCCCCTGTAAATGTACCTCAAACAAAATAAAAATAGAAACGAAAGCAGGAGTCTTCACAAGTCATTAACACAATCCACTTCATCACATCCTGTGCTTATTGCCCGTTTTTATTTTTTTCGAAATGTACTTGTGGGTAAGGTTAGAATTATTTTTGGGCCATTCATCATATCGGGGGGAACTTGTAGTAGTTAAAGAATGAAACGAGCGTCCTTTACAAAGATAACTTCGGGTTTTACCTATTTTCTTTGTGTTTGTTCACTGAATCGGAAGAACATTTTTAAATTTACGCCGATCTGTATAGCATACTAGATGTTTGGTGACAGTGTTAGTGTAACATACAGTTTTTGAACATGGTGCCGTCAGCATAGCAGCCAGTTGGCAATAATATGCCAAGCTAGAATCTTAGAAATGCTCAGAAAAATTCGTGCTTACGGGTTATCCCTTGAAATTTAAAAGTATGTGTTCAAGGCCTTTTAAAGTCCTGGAACAGCATTCTCAAAAAAATTTTGAATCTCATGAACTTCGTAGTCTGTGCAGCCTGCTTTCTATTGTAAATTAGCATCAATTTGACTTGCTTTCCACTTGAAATGCAATCTGCTGGCATTGATGGTCGTGCGTTCTGTTTTGTGCAACATGGGCATAGTTGGAAACGCCTTATCATGAATGGAGTGAGGGACTAACATTTTGAGGTTGGTTTTCATACTACTTTGCTTTTCTTGCACATCGTCCAGTCATTATATAATGCCCCTGACACACGGGCACCCTGAAGTCCTTTGCCCTTTAGACAAGGGCACATCTCTCGGAAAGGCGTTCGGGCGCAGTGACACACGACAAAGGAGTAACTCCTTTCCGGCAAAAATCCTTTTCGCAAAAGCAGATCCCGCATCTACTTTTCTGGCAGGAAGGGAGTACTCTCGCATACAGTGTGCATAATTTATCAATAAAAGAAAACGTGTCGCAACACTGCGGTGTCCTGTCAGTATTTTTTTGCGCTGAGAAAATGTTTTCATTTTCAGCAGCAGTGCGATTGGTTGAAAAGTGAAGGCCTATAGTCTGTCTATACTCTCAAACGCCTGCATTACGTCACTTGCGCGATCATGTTAGGGTCGGCAGCGGCAGTTGCTGTGTCGGTGACGTAGTATCTCGTAACAGTGGAGTCGGCTCAGTCGGTGAAGAAAAAATCGCGCGTGCAGTGGACTGAAAAGGAGACCTAGGCGCTGATAAAGCTATGGGAGGACCATTTGGACGCCTTGCGAGGGCAAAAGCACAACGGTGGAGTGTACCAGGCGATTGCCGAGAGCCTCACCGACGCCGGTATTCCCCGTACACGGGCGCAAATTCACAGCAAAATTGCCTTCGCAGCGTTTAGCTCATCTTCGATGGAGCCGACGGCGACAAGAGTCAGGCCCACCTCAACTTGCTTTACCTCTGTCTCTGCGCCGAGACATCACAGGACCACAATGAAACGCGGCACGCCGTCACTGACCCAGCTGGACGCAGCCATGTAAAAAGCACGACAAAAAACAAAAACAGCAAAACACCAACTGTTCATAGTTGCCAGACGAACTTAAGTTGCTGCTAAAAACGCAAAAAGCGAAAGAAAAAACAGGTATGCGCATTATAAGCCACCAGACAATAAAAAAAAAACGGTTTTATGCTCCGGCGTCGCTGAATGTGATGTACATGCGCAGATTCTTTTTAATATTTTTAATCTTGCTGCTTCCCCAAACAGCGTCATTTTTTCTGCAGCGTTCTTCTGAGGCACCGCCTAAAGCAGTAGTCCGGTGCCGTGTGTCATCAGCGCCACTCCTTTCTGCAAATGGTCCCCTTAGGCGACAAAAGGGGTTTACTTCAAAGTACTTTACTTTTGCCCGTGTGTCACGGGTATAAATGCAGTAAAAGTGACCTTAGCGATATGGAAGCCTTATACTGAAAACTTTTGACAGGGCCTCGAAAGCTGTTGAGCACCCGTGTAATCTTCTCCTTTCAATTTAATTTGTTTACTCTGCAAAACATGTGTGGAGTGTCGTAAGAGTGGATGTTCAGTATTGAAAGCATGAGGCAGCAGCAGCAACATAAAGCAGTACTGATCCTACTTTAAGGGATCGACGACGGATTTTTCTCGACTTACTTTTTCTTTTATGGTGCAGCAGAAAGCTCTACCTTTGTGGTGTTTGTAGCTGCAGCAGTTAATTACAAAAACGTATACTTTTTTTTTACCTGAAAGGCACTTAACACAGATTTACCTTCCCTTCAGCAACGCTGAGAATTGGTAGTGATGCCAGCAGCCCTTCTCACGATTTGTGAAATCTGTCGTTCTGCTTTCGCAGGAGTCCCTGTGACTTTTCTTAACAACCTTTATTTTAAGCTTTTCAACTATTTTTGAAAATAACAAACTGTTAAAATGAGGTGATGTAGTCTATGAAGAGATAAATTGACCCTGAAAGGGTTAAAATAACCACTCGTGGTGTTTAAAATGTTGTTATTGAATTTGTGACTTTGCTCACTGTCTTGAGCTATGGCTGACTTGCAAAATTACCCTGGCATCAGGATGTTGGGGGGCGAAAAATGTTGGGAAATTTTGATGAGCACTTGAACAAAGCAAATTCAGTGGGAATGCATTCTAGTGTGTTTGGCAGAAAAGAAAACATAGGCCTAAAGGCACCTGTCAATGAGTGGTTGTGCTGTCTGGTTGGCGTTGCCATTGCATTGCATTGTGACCTGCTTGATAGGACAGTGTACGGTGGGCGATCAATGTGGTCGTGTGCCTTGAAGCCACTCGTTGGTTTAGTGCAACGCAATTAACGTCCCACATAAACATACCCAATATACTCGTTACATTTCCTTGGAGACCCTATGTCACTTGTTACCACGTCAAAGCCACAGCATCATATTTATATGGATTCCTATATTTAGAGGTCAGAGGCAAATGAAACTGGGGAAGCTACGCACTGGTTGTGTAGCGACTGAAGAAACAGTGCAGCTAGTGGCATTGCTCTCCCTCATTTCCCTTCTCCTCACCAAAACTAGCCTTTGCCACCTTTTGATATGGTATAAAGTACCCAAAATGTTGGTAAGCAACTTTAGATGCCATATAAGGTAGAGGTGTTTCATGATAAGAATAGCTTTGTTTACACGGTCAAAAGTAATTTGCAAGGCTTTAAACTGCTTCACTGTAAAAGTGGCCAGTCTTGTTTTTCAACAAAGGCCACTGTCGAACTGTCTTATAATGACTCTCGCACTCTCCTTCTCATCATTGTAGCGCCAAGCTGCTAATCAAGGGTGAGCCCAACGTGTCGTACATCTGCTCGCGCTACTACCGGGCCCCAGAACTGATCTTTGGTGCGACAGACTACACGACCATGATTGACGTGTGGTCGGCGGGTTGTGTGCTGGCCGAGCTACTGCTGGGCCAGCCCATTTTTCCCGGGGACAGCGGTGTTGACCAGCTGGTGGAGATCATCAAGGTGTTGGGCACGCCCTCTAAAGGAGCAGATCCGCGAGATGAACCGCAACTACACGGAGTTCAAGTTTCCCCAGATCAAGGCACACCCGTGGCACAAGGTGTTTCGGGCACGGACGCCCGGCGACGCCATCGAACTGGTCTCGCGGCTGCTCGAGTACACACCCAGTGCACGCATAGGCCCCCTGCAGGCCTGCGCGCACAACTTCTTCAATGAGTTACGGGAACCGGGCACCAGGCTGCCTAATGGGCGCGAGCTGCCTCCCCTCTTTGACTTCACACCCCACGGTGGGTCTCTTTTTTGCTCGGGGGCTGTTTGGACGTGTGTTCAAAACCTTGATACGTACTGAGAAAAATCTTCAAAGTTTAGTGTATTCTATCATACAAACCTCTTGGATACAAAGACGGCTGTGAGCGAGTGTGAAGTAAGATCTTATATTTTGTTTTGACATTCAAGTTCTCGCAAGGCGCACTTACCAACATTCTCATTATTGTGATGTGGGTCTTCATTGTCAATTTTGGGGACTTCACACACCAGTATGGCTAGTTGTGTTGACGTGAGTTAACCAAAAACATTCAAAATGGCAGCTTGTGCGTTGCCAACGAAGCCACAAAGCAGAGTGGTTAGGAAACCTCATAATCTTGTGCGAGACTATGATGCAAAGCTCATTCTATGTTGTGACATCGGGGTACTGTAGGAACGAAATCTAGATTTAAAAACGTACTGTAAATACTTTTTCAGGGTGAATCTATGCCTATAAATATATTTTATTGGCTTTCAAGGCTTGGCATTTAATTTGATAATATATGAAAACTAGAAATTTTTTTTCCTCAGTAATGAGCACAGTTTCAAAGTTCTGTTTCTTACGCTACTAGAGCAGTATTTTTTCCAGAGCACTTGCCTGCAATAAGTAATCACTGCTTTTAAGATTTTGTTCTTCTCACTTCTGAAAATAGATTTAGAGTTAAAGATTCTGAAGCACACTGCGGGGCATTCATATTCGTTGCTGGTGTGAAGTGTTTGGTTCTGGATTTTGTAAGCAAAAGCGCAGCCTCTTGGTGGTTATATTTGCTAGCCAAAGATGGTATAATGAAGTACAGGTAAACTGGCAATATCGAACTCGCGAAAAGGGGGGAGAGGGTATTTCAATATATCGCATAATTCTATATACATCTTAGAATGAAATAATTGTATTTCCAGCTGTGAATTTCAGTGTGTGAGCGGGCTTCATAACACTGCCCCCTTTAATGTAAGAAAGATGCCTTCACAGCAATAAGCGTTTCCCTCACCACCCCCCATTTCCTCAGCAGTTTGTAGTTGCGGGTGCAAGGTTATATGCAAAGCTTGGTTATATGTGTTGAATTGCAATCTCCTGGATTTTTTTTTTAGGATATGAAGTTTCAGGACGATAGGAATATTTTCTCTCTCCATTTAGATTCGCATAGCTGAGATTCTAATGTAGTTGGGAAATCCCTACTTACGATGTTCATGGTCACTAAGCCATTATAAGATCGCAACTGCCAATGTTTGCACTTACAGGGCTAATCAGCATTCTCTCCCCCCCCCCCTCGCTTTCGTTTGTGGGGAGATGTTTTTGTGAATAAAAAAAAGTGGGAGAGGCACGTTGAATTTGCATTCCTTTCCCCCTCCCCTACAGTTTTGTAAATCTGCTGCATTCATATTCCTTGAATTTGGCAGGTAGGTCAATGTATATTGTACCTCAAACTTTTATATGCATCTGTGCATATTCGTAGGCAGTGGATTCATGTAGTCTGCCCTAGGCCCTAATGCCGACCTTGTTTTTCAATATCACACTCACTGGGCTTCTTGAAATGCTGTACACAACGGCGACGTAAGGATTATTTTTCCTACGTTTCACTCTATTTCTTATCACCAGCTTTGCAAAGAGCCGCAGGTTCTTCTGTTTTATGGCATCTACTGCACTAAAGCGTTGTCATGTTAGAAAAAAGTTCTCGAAAAAGGATAATTCGATTTACCCGATTTTGATGCAGTCACGCTCGTCTGCATTTGGTTCTGAAATTGGTGTCAGTGCGTAAGCTTTGCAAAGGAAGGCCATCAAGGCCTGTTCGTGTTGCCGAGAAAGTAGTGTTCGCTACAGGCTTGTTGTTATTGTCAAGATGCTTACAATTGTTCATGCTTTCATTGCATTACCTTTGTATGTCATTGTGTTGATTGTGCAAGTGTGGTACGTGTGCTTAGTGTTTCTAAAATAAATAAAAAATACTATTTAGGAAGTGAGACATAGTCTGTAGTGCGACACGTAAATGATAAAGCCACTGTATAAAACTTCTGTGCCATGTCATGCAGAGCCCTCCATTGTGGTGTTTCTCATAATCTTGTACTGTTGAGATGTAAAACCCCAGATATCACTGTATTTAAGACAACACTTAAAGTACTGTAACAGCCCATGAATTTAACAGAAATCAAGTTTCGTAACAGCCAACTTCAGCATGTGTTAATTATTCCAAGCAGAGATTCAGGATAGTTTTATTGGACCGCCGCGGTGGTCTAGTGGCTAAGGTGCTCGGCTGCTGACCCGCAGGTCGGGAGATCGAATCCCTGCTGCAGCGGCTGCATTTTTGATGTTTGTGAAAATGCTGTAGGCCTGTGTGCTCGGATTTGGGTGCACGTTACAGAACCTATAGGTAGTCGAAATTTCTGGAGCCCTCCACTACGACGTCTTTCATAATCATACGGTGGTTTTGGGACGTTCGGATGTCAGATGAAGCTCGTACGCATGGTAAGGCTCGTTCACGCCCCAACGCGTGGGCGACAGTCACATCGATGCTGAGCAACTTCTCCTTCGTCTCTTCAAGATGGTGACTGCATTGATGCTTATCGCCACATCGAGAATCGGTGCAACGCTCTGTCGTCACAAGTGAGGCAGGTGTTGGTGTTCCGTGCTCAAGTGGTGTTCCGTGCCTGATGGGTTGCGCTCGCTAACTGCAGTGATTACGGCCCCAAACAGTGTCACCGCGTCGTCGACTGTGCATTTGCCAACACGTTTTTGATCATGCAATAAGTTAGCCGCGGAGGATAGCGAATGTGTTGCTGTGCAACCAAAGCTCGGCGCTATGCCGGCAACCGACGGGCAGCGGAGAAAGACCCATTCCGTGTGAAAAAGGCTCAGGAACGGCTGCAACATAAGCAGGAAAGGCGGAAAAGGAAAAGAGTCCTAAAGAACAGTTTTAGCTACTTTGCAAGGTCATTTTAGACCAAAATGTGTGTTCAAAACTTTCAAAGTCCGTTTTCTCAGAATTACTTTTTCGGCCAGTGAGGCTGTTTAGCCTGGTGATATCTCTGCAACCGTTCATTTGATTTCTATCAGATTTGTTTTATTATGTACTCTCATAAATAGCCTACACACTGACAAAGCCATTTTTTAATTTTCTTGCATCAGTAATTTGTGATAATTAATTAGAATTTCATTGATGAAATCTCAATGACTAACACCAAATCCAGTGCTCTGCTAAAACATTTCTGCAAGTAAATTAAAAAAGGGGCTCTGTCCTAGTCTAAAGCACCCATCCAGGAATGATCACAGTGAATTTCACGGTGCTAGCACATTTATTAAATTCACCAGAGCCTGACTAAGACACCTATGTGGACTATCCTGATAAATGGCCGTAACTTGGGAACCAGTGAACCTAAATACATGAAATTTTATGGTTATTCAAATGGCTTTATAATTAGCCTGCCCAAAAATAATGTCTACAAACATCTTTTTAAATCTCTGCAAACAAAAGAGTTGCCCTTCCTTGGTAGCCTTCCCCCAGTTTCACTTGCTGTTTTTTATGTTGAGCATAGTAAAGCTTCAATGCACCCAGATGAGTTGAGAAATGTACACGTACAGCCAATTCAAATAAGCATAATAGATCATGCTATCATTCAATGTAGCTGGAGCAAAATTAGCCCAAGTAAGGCAAACCTTATCGTGGCCAATTAACGCAAGTAGACTTCCCAATGAGTGCCCTGCTGCGTCGGTCTAGTGGCTAAGGTACTCGGCTGCTAAGCTGCAGTTCGAGGGATCGAATCCCGGTTTCGGCGGCTGCATTTTCCATGGAGGGGGAAATGCTATAGGCCCATCTGCCTAGATTAGGGTGCATGTTAAAGAACCCCAGGTGGTCGTAATATTGGAGTCCTCCACTACGGCGTCTCTCACAAGCATATGGTAGTTTTGAGACGTTAAACCCCACATATCCACCTCCCTTGTAAGCCCCAAGAAGCTAAACCCTGGAAGGTATTGATTTACCCCTTTTCGACTCTATACTATTTAGGGTCGTTGATGTCTAATTAGTCCTAGTTAAAATGTGTATTTATCGTGGTTGATTAATTAAATTAGCATGATATGCAATTAAACACACCCAAAATACTGAAGTTTCACATAGTATAATTGGGCTAATTATGGATAACTAAGTTAGGCAACACCAAAGTAAGTATAGGTAAGTCTGACAAAGCATGGTTGATCATGGCATCATCAAAAAACGGATTATAATTAGCTGTAATTGACTTCTCATTAAACACAATAAAGTAATTGAAGACGAATTTTATGAGCTCAGAGAGTCCAAGCTGAGGAAGATACCAATTATTCCTGGCTGAGTCTAGTTTCATCAGGCTTAGTTTAATTATCCTTAGAACTAATTAAAATGATTACCTAGTAATTTGCATGACATCAAAGTCCACCCTAGGTGCAAGAGTTTGATGCCGCAGAATTATGCAAATTACATCTAGCCACGCCTGATTGAGAAATCTGTTGCTGCATTGGACGCTCTTGGGAGTAAATGTGTTTATAATGCGGAGTAATTATTCATGCAATTATGCACTGCACAAGCAGTCTGCAAAATTCAAGTTTTCTTTTGTCGTCTGAAGATGTGCCACGAAATATCTAAATTATGAGAATGGGAAACGTGGCACATAATGCGCCATCAAGAAACTGCAACTTGCATCAACAAAGGCAGGCTGAGCTGAGAAAGCTTAATTTTGTGTGCTTGGCTTCATCAGGTTTTTGCAGTGCTAGCTATGCTTGGTTCTCCTAGTCCACAAATATAAATAATGACGCGAGCCCGGTGCAGGAACCGGCCTGGTCGCAGATGTTTAAAAAAAACTGGACTATTTAATGGAGCGAGCAAAGTGACACCAATTGTCATTCTGGCTACGGGCGCTGTAACCGCGTTAGAGAAAGCGACATGAGAAGCCAACCGATACCACGGGATGCGCATGTGCCTCGCAGTAGGTGTCTCATCGCTACATGGCGCGTCGATGCCTTCGGCCGCGAGATACCGTGGTCTGCACACTTTTGCTCATGCCTGTACATTACTTATGCCTACTCACTCGATTAACAGTACATTGGATGACATGCAGATATTAGCATGTCAGTGTGCATATAGGCATGACTAACTTACAAAACTTACAGGCTTAGCGTATACAGTGCACTCGACTTGAAAGAGCCAAAAAGACCTGAATAAATAAACTAATTTAGCCTTATTTCTCTGCTAGTCATACAATGCAGTAAATATTTACTTCAGTAAACAACCAGTGTTACGTTGTGACCAGTGTTACGTGGTGACCTTGTGTACCCAGGGCTGATGAGCACATTATCTCATTTGGGAGTTGTCTAAGTGGTGCGTAAACAAGAGGCTTATTGTAAACTGCAGCTTTCTCTAAATCTCTATTTTCGGGCGACATCAGTATAGTGTCATCTTTTTGGCATTTGTCGGCACGCTCCTGCAAAAGCCGAAAGCAGCAGAATGTTGTTTTTGCTAACAACAGCTTCTCTACATGTTGCATGAGAATAGAATATTAAATGCAACGTTGCAAAGTGGGGCCTTGGTGGTGTCATAACACTAATGTGGCTTGGTGTACAATGTGTGGACGTTGTTGAGACAGAAAAATGGCTGCATGGTAGTAGTTTTGCACACATATTGAGTTGGTAACACTGTGCTGCTTTGGATTGTGTGCACTTCGCTGTGACGAGTGGAGGTGTGTGGCAGTTCAGCAGCATTTTCACGATTTGACTTCAAAGCCCCGTGTGTGCACTATTGTAGCAATGAAGGTGTGCCTATCTGTGCAGAGCTCTCTCTGGAGCCCCAGCTGAATGCTACGCTGATCCCAGCGTATCTGCGAGGTGGCGAGGCTGTTCCCACGGCGGGAGCGGCAGGGTCGTCGTCCGAGACAGCCGAAGCATCCACCTCAAACAGCGGCCCCGTGTAAATAAAGTGTGTGTGTACATAGGCGTGTACATACCCTGCGGGAGGAGGGCCCCCCACACCCGCTATTTATTGTGTGGCATTAGAGTTTTAGACGTGTAGCGCCAGAAATAAACGTTTCCCATCTGCCTCCTCTGTCCCGTGACCCTAAACTGGCTCTCCTGCACAGAGGTTGGAATGGGCAGCTTTCGTTTCGGGTGGCACAGCTGCGACGTGAAGTGCGGCAGGGGGGTTATCTTGGAAGAGGTCGCTTTACTTCCACAGAAATTGAATGACCATGACTGAATGCACCGTGGCTGGTTCGGTGAACTGCATCGCAGGGTCTGAAGTGCTGACAGATGTTGCAGCTCAGCTATGAACAGAAGGTGTGGTGGCTCCTCTCGCCCCGGGAAAACGACTCTGATGAACAACCATTTAGAGATTCAATGGGCACATAATGGCTTGGAGCTGCTGCTTTTAGTTAGTTTTTTCTGCATTTGTGCGCCGTTGCCACTGTTGTACTGTGCATGTGAAACTACGTATGTGGCAGTCTAGCCGTGTCGGGCGAGAGTGTAGAACTTTGTAGCACGCGTGATAACTTTGCACACTGCGGATTAGCGTGGACAAGTGGCAGCCTGCCTGGTTTCCAACTTGCAAGCACATCGCCGCAGCTTGCAGTGATCTGGTCAAGGAAACGTGTTACACTTAATCTAAGGATCAGATATCATTCCACATTTCACGCTCTTTGAGTTGTTCCCTACTCGCACACGCAGAAGTGATTGCTGAGCTGTTCAAACTCCTTGGCTTCTAATCTAGTTCTTGTGTGTGGCCATCTGGCAAAGGCTGTAGTCATAGTAAGGGTGTGTGTGTGTGCGTGTGTGTGTGTGCGCATGTGCTTGCGTATGTGTGAAATAGATCTGGGAACTTTCCAAGAGGTCTGCGTTTGTGGTCATCGGAGATTTTGCTAATGGGATTTGCACATGCCACTTTGCTGAGACTCCTAAGCGATACAGCCTTTTGCTCTGCATTCGTTGCAGGGTTGTAACAAAATTCAGTTGATTAGAAGTGCAAAGTTTTCTATTCATTCGCTCGATATTCCATGTATCGCATTACTGCTCGCCCATTACTACGAGGAAAAAAAATTGTTGGCCAAGTGAAAGCCCCGTGCATTGTCCCATTTTTGTTAAGTGACTGCCTGCTGTGTGTTTTTGTGTATTTAGACACTCTTGCCTGCGTATTTTCTATTCAAGCAAAGCACCCATTCTTTTTAACCGAAGTCCTTTAATGTGCCTGCCTGAACAGTACGTTGGCATTTCAGGTGATAAACCACGTACATTGTATTGCACCCGGCTGGTGGTTACGCTAGGAATATTATAAAAGAAGAACTTTGCCAATTTTTCAACCTTTACTACATAATGCCTTACTGGCAAATCAAGTTAGTGCAATTTGCGAGGCATTAATTATGGACTCGTGTAATGACTTTGCCAAGCTGAAGTTGTCGCTTGAACTTAGCACCTTGTTGTAAATGTTTGTTTTTTTTTCTGTTCAGGTTTATTTAAGTGTGTGTATTTATTAAAAACATTCGTTTTTTGAATGTTCTCCTGGCAGCGGATGCATTTTGTCTTTGTATCAGCAGCGGCAGACGCGCATGGAGCGTAGGAACCCTGCTAACTATGCTGCTCCTGATCGCATTGCTTCCAGGCATGGTATTAGGCAGCCCAGCGACATTTAAATTAGATTTGACCACGGCATTTGGAGTACAAGGAAGTGAAAATAAATGTTTTTTTTTTTTCCAAAGCTGTCGAAATAATTGGAAAAGTTTCGCCCGGCCAACAACTGCTGTTGTCCCACAATAAGAGAAGTGGCTTCGACTGCTTTGTGAAAAAGCTTTGCCTGCCACTGTTCCACTTAATTGTTTAGTACTATGAGGGTTGTTTTAAAAGAGGGTAATATTAGATATAACATTCATTTTTGTCTGCCCAGTAAATTGGCCGTTTCTCTGCTTAGTTGATGCAGTGCAAGAGAGTGCACCTAGCAAGTTCACACGGACAGGCCTGTGTGCTTTCTAGTAATACGAAGCATTACCGTTACGGTATTTGATTGATCACGCTCAGTTGTTGTAGAAAAATGCTTTTAGATTCCAGCAAGCTACAAACACCCTCAATGAGATCGATAGTTGGGTGGAAATCCTTCTGGTCAGGAAGGATATTAAGACAACTTAAAACATGCTGACCACGATAAAAGCAAGCCGTTCCAGCCCCCATGTGGGAGCCTTGATCACGAGTTAAAATAAGTGTGGGAGCAGTCCGGTTCATATCGAGACGATTGTTTTTATTGTGGTCAGCGTGTTGTTTTGTCTTCCAAGCGTGCTTTTCTGGGCAAGTTGGCGCGACATTTTGCAAAGTTAACCACTACGAAAGTTACGTGCGACAGGACTAGCGCTGGTCCTCTTGTGCATGTGTCTATCATCTCGTCTATTGTACCGGTTTACTTCACAAGCCCTCAAACAGCCAGTTCTGTGCTCATGTTCTTCAGAAATATGTTGTCGTTTTGCCTGTAGGCTTCAAGGCTACACATGTTCGTTAAAGGTTAAAGCATTTGTAACCCAGGCTCAACTAGTTGCCACCTTTTTTTTTACACTTGCTGTAGTGCTAATAGTCTGGAGTATCCTCAACATTGCAGCGTTTTATACACATTTTGAGCACTTTAAAGCGCAGTAGAAGCCTGCAAATGTTTCCGTGTAAATTTGCTGACTATACAACTTTGCAAGTTGACTTGTTCTGGTTTAATTTTTCTGCTCTAGCTTTAAACAGTAACCCTTTCACTCACCCTGCCGCCCAATGAAATATGCAGTGCTGTTTTGCAGTTTTGATGCACAGACATGTCTTGCGTTTGGGACTTGTTCATTGAGGTTATTGAGAGGCAATTTAGTGAAAAGTTCTCCTACGCAGAACTCTGCAGGTTTCCTTTCATGCACCTAAGTACAAGCGCATGGCTGATATATCTTGCCTCTGTCAAAGTGGTTAAGAACTTGCATTTTTCAGCTCTGCCTAGTACCTGTTTCGATAGATACCGACTTCAGTGTAAATGCATAGCTGTTCCCATTATCAGCATGTATTACTTCTATTTTTCGTGTGCCAGTGCATAAACTAACCGAAACAATGCATTTTCGTAAAGGTGCCAAGTATCAAAGCATCTCTTTGCAATTAGTGTAAGCTACAGTTGCAGACAGTATAACTTGCAACATGGGCATGCATGTCCTTACGAAGCCTAACGGCTTCCACTAGTCTATTTACACAACTAAACACTGCTGCGGTGGAGCTGTGGTTATGGTGCTCGGCTGTTGACTCGAAGGTTATGGGTGTAATCCTGGTCGTCGTGAAATGCTACAGGTCATGTACAGTGCATAGTCGGTACACGTTAAAGAACACCAGGTGGTTCAACTAGGGCGTCTCTCATGATCGTGTGGTTTTTGTGTGTAAAAGTCCAGGTATTATTATTACAACTAAAACACTGTTCTTCCCTTTAGGCATGATCCCAGATAGAAAAATGTCATTTAGTGATGGAAATCGGGGGGGTCAAGTTGAAGTAACGCACTATTTTTGAGATGGTGAGGCCATACGCTGTAATTGTATAGTGTTCCTGACAAAAAGGTAAAGCTTTCAAGATTTGCAGACAATACTTGCATCGATGTGCCGTCCCCCTTTGACAAGTGCCTGACCACGTGAAATGGTCAGACATCCCAATGCTTTTGTGCGACACAGAGTTGGCAAGCCCAGCTATTCGCTAACAATTCTTGATAGCTGCCAAAGCATGTGTTAAACAGAGAGCTTCAACTTTTGGCATTAATCTGTTCGTCCATTACTCGCCTTAACGTGCAGAGTAGTCAAACATTTTTAGCAACTAAATTGGTCGTTATGAAGTACATTCATTTTTTCCATACTGCTCTGAAACTCGTGTCAGTAGAAGTTTTCAGTTTGTGACCCATTTCAGTGGGCCAAGAGAGTTTTGAAAGAAAATTTGGATCACAGGCCCCTGTAGGGCACAGCTTTAAAAAGTGCTGGTACAAGTCTTTCAAGAAAAGCCATCCCTATTACCTTTTCTAAATGGAGCTAGAGAGCGTTTCCTTGTCCAAAATGTATTGTTTCACGTACTTGCTAAAAAAAATATTTTGCAAAAAGTAGGCATTGCGATCGACGTTAGAACTTGTGATGTAAGATGACTTTTGAGCAAGCTTTTTTATATTCCGTAGGCCTTGTTTGTTTATTAATATCATGAATATTACGGGGTTCCCAGCAGCTGCCACTTCCAAGAGTTTTTTTTGTACAGTTGTTAGCAATATGAGAGAACACTGAAAGCACCTTGAAAGGTCGTAGTGGCTAAATGCAGTTGGCAAGGGCATGAGAGTTAATGGCACCAAATGCTCGAAGAAAGGCACACTATCTTTGAATTGAATAAGTTGCACTCGTAGCCGTACATTATAAGTACTTGTTTAACTAACACCACTGCTAACACAGTGTTTTCTCTTGTACAACTTATCAGTACTTTTAAGCTTGCGTGTTTTTAAGCTTGGTCAACAAGCATCGTTGCACAGAAAATTTAAGCTCCTCCTACTGTTTAATACTCTTTGCTAATAGATTTCAAGCTGGCTAATTCTGACTGAACTATGGACTCATGTTTGGCCTTTCTTTCTATACATTTTAAACGAACATTCACTCTGTTCTTTGACATGCAGAGTTCATAGTGTTGCACATCGCATGCTCAGTCATTTTTTAGCAGTTACAATCTTTGCTACTGTGACGCTTAGATGAGGATGTGCCTTGATCAACTAGGGACTGAGTACTGTAGAATCCTTCTGAAATGGAAATGCTCTCGCCACCGCAGTCTTAAAATATCGGTAATGCACAATAGCTTCATTGAGAAAGGCTTCACAACTTTGCTAAAGGAACAACAGAAGCAAGGTTGACATTATTTTTCCCGGAAGGGCCATTCTGAAACGCTTGCGCCAACACCAATATTTTTCAACCGTGTGAAAAACGATGCATAACTGCATATTATACAAATACCAATCTGAGCTGTTACTACGCTGCCATCTTGAATTTCGAAACTGGTAAAGCCTTACTCCACTGAATAGCCATCAATCGTGGCCCATAGCACAAGTCAACCTATTTTTAGTTGCTTTACAGCAGAACGATTTTTCGCATATTAGTAAAGTACAATTTCACAATCCCAAAAACACCACTTTTACCGCAACATGACGCTTAGTGAGAAAACGAGCGAAGGTAAATTGCTGGTGGTGATGCCACCTTGAGACTCGCCAAATGCCATGATGCAAGAAATTTCGAAGGCAACTGCAGGAACTTGCATAGCTTCCAATCGATAAATATGAAGTACACTGTAACCTGTGAGTGCCATAGACTTGGCAGACGCAGCTTCAGAAAATTTCAAGCCAATGCCACAAAAATTCCGAAAACACAGTTTGAAATTTTTTGCTTCACATGCAGAAGTTTTAGTGCGAAATTGAAAAATGAAACCATTTTTTTTGCTAATATTGAACTTACGATTTATTTTCTCCACCAATAATGAATTTACGAGATAGTGAAACGTATGTCATTAGAATTCTCAGAGAAGTTTGTCTATTAAAACCAAGTCATTGTTTCTCTTTAATGTGCCTTTAACAAGCATAGGTGTGCTACATCTTGCATCCTTCTAGGTAAACACAGTCGGGTCCCTTCAAATTTTGTTTAAGAACGGTAAAAGGTTTCCCTAGGGCTCTAGGAGTGCACATAGCATTCAGCTGCAAAAGTTAGGCCCACGTGGAAACACCATTTTGGTCTTCCCAATCGACCTTGTTGCAGAACATTGCATGTATGCGGTGGCATTCCTGTTATATGGCTTAATACGGACACTGTCTGAACAAAATGGCCAGTAATCGTCAACCTACATATTGCAATGGCCACCAAAAAGTTAGGATGGGTTTTTCATTGGTCTCTTCTCGTACACCATCAATGGAAGTAGTAAAGCCCAAGGAGTTTCTCAGATTTCTTTGAAAGCGGAATAGTTTTATGTAAGAAACTCTTGCTCTTAAATATTACATTCAAAACTTTGTACTTACTGTCTTCAATGAAACATACCATTGCAAGTGAAGCACTGCCCCATCTGCTTCACTAATCCTTGCATTTTTGTACTGGTATGCTTCAGCCTTCAGGATCTGGCCAAATAAAAACCTCGAGGTGCAAAGGCAAAGCTCGACATCATTTGTGTAACATCCGTTTATTTTATCATGTAAAATTCGACAGGGCTTTTAAATGCAACAAAAGAAATACTGCTCCACCTTCTTCAAATGCCCAGTCGAATGGTCATAAATGCCATTCAGGAACACTTCTGTGAGATTTCTTGAGAAATGGCCACAACGTACAGCCAAAAAATCTGCAAAGAATTCAATGTTGGTTCAATAAGCATGATGTTAAATTCCAAAAGAAAATACAGTATGATCATAACCTGAAGATCGGCTGAATTAACCAACTTCCAGCCAAACATGGCCGAAATAAATGTTTGATGCCATTCAACAATGTATATGCTGGTTGGGGCCAGAGAATGCATTTTAATTACGTGATTTCCTGAATTAAACAGCATTGAGATAACGGGTTCTTAAGGTAAAAGTTTATGTACCACTACGCTTTCTGCCTTTCACTATATATTGTACGGAAATTTTCTCTGAATAATTTCTTTCACATGCCATCATCCCATCTGCCAAACAATTTAGTTTTCAGTGGTGGCGATGCCACAGGTAATCCCTTTATTCAATAACAAACACCCAGAATGCTGCTTCTAAAATTAGTTCGTTTTTCTTTTAATAGAGAAGTCGTGTGATGTAAACACCTTTTGTTTTCACATCAACTCATTTTAGGATCTGTGCTTTTCGAAACGTTGCATTACCAGGTCATGCACGATGAAAGATCCAATGTCAAACGACATGTTGGCACACACACTGGGATCTTTATATGTTAAAGAAAAACAGGCCTGTCACTACTCATATGTACAATTTGACAATGAAGTGGTCCTTAGTTGTCCATGATGGAGTGTACAGAACTCTGGTGGTGCATGTCGACCACAATCAATCGTGATCTGACAAGCAATGCGACGTGCAAAGAGTCTCATGACTCCGAAGTGTACTGGTGGTACTACCATTCTTTGGTGCCTCAATGACCCTCGAAAAATCAGCCTCGCAATCCCGTTGAGCCAAAGCCACCTTCTCCTCGCTCAGTCTCGTCCAAGCTCTGGAAGAAAAAAGCAAAGTGATGTGCAGCACTGTTGATGTGGAGCTGCATTCGTGAGCAGCAGCGAGATAGCGCAGAAAATGCCTGGTGTTCCTGTGTAGCGGCTGAACAACAAGAAAGACAATTGGACGACCTCTGTACAAGCTCGGGGAGTAGCAGCACGTGAACGGCAAGCTACCACCAACAGCACAGCTGAAAATTGTTCTCAACAATATCAAGCAGCATGGCAAGATGCCGCTCAACTTTCAGACTGGACAGCAGGCGGTGTGAAGCAAGGGCACTGCTTCCAAACTAAATTATCTGCCACACCAGGAGCAGAAGCAACATGAACTCTATTCTTGGCAATACAACTGAAAAGGTAGGAGGTGGACGAGGAACGGGGTAGCACAGCAGGTGTGGCTCAGCGGTTACAGGGCTGAGCTGCTGACTCGAAAGATCCAGTTAAGACGCCAGCTGCGGGGGTTGCAATTCAATGGAGGTGAAATGCTGGAGGCCAGTGCAGTGTGCCATTCAGTGTATGTTAATAAGAACTTCGAGTGGTTGAAGTTATCCAGAGCCCTCCTCTAGATCATCTCTCATTGCATTAGTTGCCTCGCAATGTGAAACCCCAAAAACTAACCAACCTAAATGTTCACAACTGAAAGTGCCAGAAACAAGGGAGCCTTTTGAAGCAGCTTGAGGAGCAGGAATACTGCTGAATAGGAGAAGCACTGTAGCAATAACAGGAGCTTGGGAGCGGATTTCTAGGGTCAGATATGATTGATCATTGCGTATATTTTTTTTAAATATCGGTTAAAAAGGTATCAAGTAGGTTTTACTCTGCATTGCTACTCATTAAGTTCCCAACCTGACCATACATTTGTGAATTCTAACAATTATGCTCCTGTTATTCAAGATTACAGCTAGAAAAGGAGATAAGCAATGCCTTGACAGTTAAACCTAACTAGATTTCAGATATGTAAAAAGTCAATTTTAATGACGCACAACATTTAACATGTGAAACAGCGAGAAGTCCCAAAATAAGCATAAATGTTACTCGCATGTACAATACAATACTGAACTAACTTAACCTACGATAAATTAAAAGAAAATATTTCCTTCGTTAAGGCATTGTAGCTGATGCGGCAACCATTAACGTGAAGGTAAACACTGAAAGTTGGGCTAGATGGTATGTGTACATTACAAAGAAGTGGGGGGGGGGGGGCATGCAAGAATGGACACAGGAGGACACAAGTAGACAACACACATGCTGGCTATCAACTGAAAGGGTGCCGTGCGGCAGAAAGGAATGTTGTGAATTGCAGCACCAGACTAATGCAAAAAACGAATGTTCATGCTTTTAAAAACACTGCAGCTGACATCGGAAAAAATCCAGAGAAATTTGGTGAATAGCTAAAGAAAAGTGACAATAAAAACTACCAGTCTGGAAACAAAGCAATTTCAAGCAGTACGAATTTGGCACCCGCATTAGCTGAATACACCCACATTACTTGGGGGGTGCCTGAAACGTACCCAAAATTGACAAGTGCATACGTGCATGGGCCTACGTAATATGCATCACACCGCATACAGAACTCCTAAGTCGATGGAGCAGCAACTGACAAACAGCTGAAATCTTGCGTAGCCATGATAACGAGGATCAATTATGAAACCAGTACTGTATTTTCCTGCATATAAGCTTCCCTGCACACAGCTCGCACCTTCGTGCTGTGCCAAGAAAATAAAAAAGAAAAGGTTCCTCAGCATAATACCCACTCCACTGACCATTAAATGCAGGCTGTCTTCGAGGAAAAAAAATAAGTAAAAAGTGAGAAACATTACTGTATTTGACATTTTTTAACAACTTGTTTACGAAAAGTGGAAGAGGGGGATACAGCAACAAAAGAAAAACATTGCTGAAAGGCAATCTACACCTACGGTGTTTATTATTTGCGAATAGATATCGGCTGTCAAAAGCCAAAAGCTCCCTTCTCACTGGTGCCTGGACGGCGCCTATGTCTTATCTCGCCCTCTTCAACACCGCACATCGGCTTTCATATAGCAAGCACACTCGTGATAAAGACTGAATGGAGTGGTTCGACTGAAGAGTAAAACTTCATTTTGCTTTTGACTATGAGCCGGAAACGTTTTTACACCTGGTGACGCACTTATCGCGATGCAGCGTGCACTCCGATAAGGCTGCGTTTTGGGAAAAAATTCAGGTGCAACCCGCAACTGAATTTCACTGCCAGTTATGAGCATTAATTCACTTCTGATTCGACAGTACCAGATGCCACTTGAGCACATTTCATATATGTGTACTGTTCACCAACAAAACAACTGCCACCATAGACTGAAGACTCGTCATAGATACACTTGAACAAGTGCATTGGATGAGCAAGGGCACTGAAGTGGCAATCCATGCTCTTGTACAACCTTTTCCATCATAGAGCATCAAGATTCAAGCACGCAGTAAGACCATATTTTTTACCTTGTAACCGATTCACATTGCTACGCTTGCATCGGGTGCTCGCTGCTACTGGAATATTTCAGTGATCACTCAGTTTATCTTTTCCCTGTATAGAATGTCACAGATGACATCTGAACGAATTCATTTCTCCGTCTACCTGTAGCAAAGCGACAGGCATTAGACGTCTCATTCTAGACTCGCATTTGGCAGCACATGGAGGGAGTGCATGGAAATAGTGCGTTGATGCATTTTGGAGCACCATGACTCAGCACTTATTCTAAGCTGCACAACACCAAGGCAGAAACTTACTGTATACTACCAAGAACAGACCTAGAAAAACTTCAGATGCTGCTTGCACACTCAAACGAGCACATTAGCCAATGCATCTCACGTGAGGTTTTAATGAGAACTCGGGGAAGGCTACACAATAACAAAACTTCTCTAAATAGCTTCTTGTATTTCCATTAGCAAAATTAGCAACTCTGTTGCCTTACGAAACCCGTGCCATTGCAGGAGAATCACTCCCCTCTTGCCCTTTCCTATTAGGGCATACAAAAGGTCAACTTACCTTACACTCGACGAGCTCAGGGTATGTGATGCGCTCGCAAATGAATTGCGCAATGCGATCCCCTCGGGAAACTACGAAAGCAAAGAGAACCATGCCGAACAAAAAACATCTTTTTATCATGCAATGACCATCTGTCACAGTTGTAGAAAAAGAAACAATTCAACATTTTTGGTTGTGATTGCGAGAATTAAGTTGCACCAACTTTGTCATAACAACAAACACGCAGTACAGAATATGTAGTAGCCTTCCTAAAGCCACTCGAAGGCTAACGCATTGACACATGCGTTTACAGATAATTGCAGGCACAGGCAGTCCAATACGAAGAGTAGCTTCAGTAATCATTTTCATTGCTGCGAGAATGGCACCAGCACAAGAGATATCCAGAAACTGAAAGAAAACATGGGTGATAATGGCACATTGAAAGTACCTGCACCAAATCACTGCAATGTCACAGTTTTTAAACATGTGTTCTATAAAAAACATGACAGTGTGTTCTATAAAACCGGAAGAAACAACGGAGCAATTTAGGGTGAATTTCTAGAGTGAACATGGTCAAAATGTGAAGAAAGAAAAAAGCAAAGGAAAGTCTTGTGGCATCGCACTGATATTTGGTTGCTGAGGTGGCAGTGTGAAATCCAAAACCGCAATCTTTTTGGCCTTTTTTTTTTCTCTTCTTATAACCAACCTATGACAAAAATTAAAGACAACAAGGCTATAAGAAGGATCACTAACCAGCTTTAAACTTAATCGGTGTTTCAGAGTAGCGTTTCATTGGTACGGCTAACACCTCACTTGCTTACCTGTGAAGTCAGTGCTGCCAAAGTTGAAAAGCAGCACTCCCAGATTGCCCCGGTAGTCTGCGTCCACTACGCCAGCTGCGCCAAGGCCAATAGATACATCCAATCAATTAATGCTCGTCCTACAATATGAGCTATGCTTCCTGAACAATGCAACAGTCCGTGCTTCCATGGAATCATAATGCGTAATGGCAATCATGCTAGGTTCTGCACTACTGTCCTACAGCAAATAAAATGCAGCAAAACCCCATAAATTCACTTTTTATAACATTATGAAAGCAATGAAGTAGCATGGATATACAAATAAAAAATCGGGAGTCTGCCAAATCATAAAGCAGACACATCAACAGAGCTCAACCTCGCGCGAATTTATACAACAGTTTATGGCTTTAAGACGTCACACATCTGGTCGAAGAGCTACATTTGTCGTAACGCTAAGAAGCCCAATCAACCCCCCCCCCCCCTCTTACACACACACACACACACTCCATTTCTGTTTTTTCAGCATATTCAATACCGTTGCGACCAAAAAGTAATGCAGCCAGCTTTACACATTTTCATGATTCACTGCTAGTTGCGCCTGATCTAAGGCGGTCTAGAACGTGATCATGAACAAGAGAGCTTTGTCGATTAGCTAACGTAAAAGAGTGAACTGACCGCCCACATCAATTCCGTGCTTGGAAGCCAGGCCCGAGCGAGGAGCGACACGTCCATAGCAACCTTCAGGAACTGCAACTTGCAGGTCGGTAAGGCAAACGCAGCGGCCACCGGCAGGCACCTGGTAATCGTATGCACTGCAAAATGGATCCAAAGCACTTGTGAGCACTTGGGACACTGACACAAATTGAGACAATTACCAACGCCCTCTAAAATGATGTTTCTCGCGTCGTCAAAGTGATACGAAATGAGTAGTCATTTATACAGTTCGAACGCGGTTCGATATAGGAGGTGTGGGCACTGTAGGTCCTGATTTGTTTCAGACAGGTTACAGTCGCCAGTCATCATATTATGAATGAGCGAGTTAACCAGTGTTCCGTTGCGTCTAGGGAACACAGTACGTGCTTTGAGGTTGTAGAAACCAGCACATTGCAAAAATCGCTATAATCCGCTATTTGTATATCCGTTTCACATACGCGGGTATACAATCTATGATCTAAGGATCGTTTTTATAGAACGGACCGGGCACGTAAATCGACATGGAAAGGAAGAGGCGGTGTGCGACAATAACAAGAATGGATCCAAGGAAAGAGAAGTCTTTGTTTGCATGTTATCAGCAAGTGCATCTAGGGACACTAGCGAGCACGCAAGGGCTGATAGTGCTTATCAATATTCCAGCAAAGAACAATAGAGAGTGAAGCTGCTACTAATCAGGTGTTTGGCATACTGCCACGACATCCGCCGCTACGCAAACGCAGTGCATTGTATTTTTAAACACCCGGAAGGTGAAGCCCCGATTCCGTCACCTGTACAAATCGAAGCCGGCAGCAGCGGCTGATCCCCTCGTCGGTGCGCGAGCGTGCTCTGTGAGCTTGACGAACTTCAGCGTCGAACATTCACCAGGCATCGTGGAAAATGCGTACCTACTGCACTGAATCGACCGCTTTAACAAATTACTGGCTTGGTGGTGTCCAAGCTTAACGCTGTCGCAGTAGGCCGGGAAAATACGTTCAACAATGCAGAAACTAGTCGAGATTTGCGTGCACTGCACAAAAGCGCGGGTAAATTGCATGCTGTGTGAAGCTTTTCCCGCCAAATTAGCAACCTGATGACGATAGCGATAGAAATTCCAAAAATCTGAAACTGATGAAAAGTCGATGAAAACCATCTCTCGAGCGCCAATTCATCAGAATGTTTAAATAGACGCACTGTTATCGTTTCCTTTCACAGCAAATCAACGTCAGCTATTGTGCTGATGCAGTAGAGCAGTGCATAGTGGTGGTGCAGGTGCCAATGGCCTAGCAAATAAACGAGCTTGCGATATTACCGCAGAATAAACCATTTGTATGCAGTCATGTATTTGTTTCTTTTTATTCGTACACGGGTAACATGATGCCTGAGACAGTGTCATTTATGGCACATATGGTTTGAACGCTGTGCACAAAAATGCACACAAGGTATTGTGCGAAACAATGCATGCCATTTGCACATATGACAAGCTAGCGTTCGTGCTGCCATCAAGTGGCGTTCGTTCTTTTCAAGCACACTACTGCAGGTTAGATAACGTTTCGCTCACTTGTTCATTTTTAAAGCTATCACAGGGAGCCAGAGAAAAAATGTCACTATGGTGGATGTGGCGCACGCATTCAGCGAAGATATCAATGAACCACAAGAGCCGCACCAAAGTGGCGGAGACACCGATGTCACCGCTGACATTCAGCTAGAAGATGTTAAGCCCAGTCCTGAATCAAGGCCGAGCAAAAATGTGCCACGCAGAACAGATAGGCGTGAGTTTATTTTCTTCAATGCATGCATGTTTTGCAAGTGGGCGGCAGCTATCGAATGGATGCTCGTCTGTAGTACCAGGAAAAACTGAGCGTGCAAGCATTGCTTAGAGAATAAATTGCGGAAGTATAAGTGTTCTATTTGGATTATTCTTACGGGTCTGTCAGAATACTAGCGTGCACATTTGCAATTTCGCTAAGCTTTTGCGGAACCCAATTTCGCCGTATTCATTCAAACTATACGGGAAACTTTGCCATGGCGAAGGATTAGTTGCGCTTTCATCTTTCCGGTCAACCTGCCTGTGCTACGGAATGAGCTGTCTGCCTGATAGCAGTTGTTTACTGCGTTGTTGTGCCATCCTTTTGAACTACACGTCAAAGCGAAACTAAGTGCGAACAATGGTTTAAACTCGCTACAAGTTGCTTTCAGGAATAGCACGTGCACACACAGGGTGTGCGTGTATGCCGCGTCTTCCACGAGCTGTATCATAAATATTCTGAACTGGAATTGTTTCTTACTTGGTTCCTTTGCAATCTCTGCTATTCCGAAAGCTATCCACGCGTCACGTGTGCATTGAATGAACTGCGCTTTGGCGATTGCTATTGAACCCGGAGTTCAAATTAATGCTGTTGGTAATTGGTCTTTCTACATAGTGTCCCGATAGTCGCATGCCTTTTTTTTTTTTTTTTGAGGCTCGAACCTTCACACGTGCCCGAGTGAACAGATTTCTTGTTAACACTTGACAGTGCTATAGGCACATACCTTGTGCTAAATTTTTCATAATGTCCAAAATAATCTACGCAGTTCGTAGGACCTCAGCTAGGACATTTTTCACCAGAAGCTAAGTGATGAAAGTTTGCCATCAGAATTGGGAATGAAGTTTTGGGTCTGAATAATTGAATAATAAAATAAAGGCACGCATATGTTAGCGATAATATGGTATTTGTGTTAGTTGATTTGTGTGCATGATTGAATGGGCTGTTATTCACAACTCTACTCATGTATACAGCACAGGAAGAAACACTTTCACAAACTCAAATTTAATAGTAATATCTGTAAGTTTATGTCAAAAAAGCTATGTTAGGATTATGAGAAATACCGTAGCGGAGAGCTCCAGAAATTTGGACCATCTGGTGTTCTTTAATGTGCACTGAGATTGCAAAGTACACAGGCGTCTGACATTTCGCCGAGATCGAACTCGCACGTGTAAGCCAAGCACCGTAAAAGCTGCACCACCATGGCGACACTCATCCAGATTCAACAGCTTTGCTCAGGATCACTTGTACTACACTGTAAAAAGCTGTGGTTTTTTCAGCACCAAGTCATGCCACAAAGACTTCGGCATGGCCTGGGTCTTACATCCAAAACGTCGTATACTGTTTATTGCTCATGAAACCCCAGAACTTCCACATTTTTTTGCACTGTAATCTTTCTTGTGGGCACATATGGTCAAGCTAGCTCTGTTTGACAGTACAGGCACTCTCCGCAGGTTCACTGTGGTCATACTTGCATGGGGAGGTCCGACGTGGCTACCAACTGGAAGAGCAGCGGTATGAGAAGCGCCGAGAGAAGTTCTACGCTTTCTTCCGAATCCCTCGAGCCCTGGAGATCTTCGTGGGCTATGGGTTTTTACAGTGTGCAGATGCTTTCTTGTCAGTGCTGACGCTACTGCCCGTGCGCTTCACACTGGCCGTGGGCTTGTTTGGAGCGCGGCTGGTGGGTCGACGACGACTGCAGCCAGCCGAGTCATGTGACCTGCTCAAGGGCCTTGTACTTCTAGGCACGTGGCTGCTTGTGTCCCAGGTGGATATGTCCATGCTGTACCACATCGTCAAGAGCCAGTCCGTCATCAAGCTGTACATCTTCTTCAACATGCTCGAGGCACGTGTTTAAGTTGCGTTGCTCAGCCTTGGAAATCTAGAACAGGAAACTTTAAGCCATGCCAGTATTGTGACACAAAGGGGGTGGTGGTGCTGACTAGGACACCCCTGCACGCACTGTGTAACACAGGCTAAAGTTTGCAGGTATCTCCACCCCACTCCCCTCCCTTTCACGAGCCCCTCTCTGGGGACACCCTGGAGCACTTCATGACTTGGAGTGTGAGCTTCTGCAACTGGTTTTACGCGCTTGCAACTAACTCGAGTAGTACGCTTTGGAAACACACTCCTGACTGTGAATTGCAGCGAAAAACAATGCTTGCAGCTGTCTTCATTTTTATGTTCTCACGGTTGGCTTTTGTGCCGCACTGGACGGTCGCAAGCGGCTTTAGGACGTCAGTTATTTTTGCTTTGTGTCGGGACGTTGCAGTAATGGCGGTCACTACAGCTGTGGCGCTTCAGGAGACAAACATCTATAAGACCACATTTGCTCAGCGAAGCCTTTCCTTATTTACTTTTTAGGGCACCCTGGATGGTCAAAGTTGGTCAGCTCTAGATGTTCTCTCCCAGTCCGTTGAGTTGCTTTAGGACGTCAAGCACCACGTTTCATTTTAGCATGACTGCAACCCTCGGAAAATAAATTTGTCTCTCTCTCTCTCTCTCTGCAACCCTTGGTGCAGGTAGCAGACAAGCTGTTCTCATCCTTTGGTCAGGACATTCTGGATGCCCTGCTGTGGACAGCAGCAGAACCAGAGCAGCCACGAGCACGCCGCCGCCTGGTGCTCTTAGCACAATTTGCCGTGGCCCTGGCCTATGTTCGTATCCTTTCAGGCATAAACTCATTCTTGGTGATGAGTTTATTCTAAACAACTTAAATGAGATATAATATGTAATAAGAAAGTTATGATTTAAGTTAGTGGCTTTGTCTGCATACAGTGGTAGGTTAGTAGGCTAAGTTGTTGCACTGCTAAGCTCTGGTATGTGGGTTCAAACCCTGCCATGGCAGCCACATTTGGAAAGTGGGTGAAATGCAAAAACGCAAGTGTACTTAAAGGGACACAGAGGCGAGATGTTGAATTGGTTTAGGTAGATAATTTGTACTTTAAAATTTGTACTTTAATTTTAATGTCCTTGACTTTAACCACCATAGGTTTCTTAATAGGGGAGAAAATCAAGTTCAATGTTTCATTACTGTGAAATTTTGTGCTGAAATCTCCGCACATCACGTCATAAATTTCAAAGTGTATTTTTCATATTCTGGCAACATTGGCTCAAAGAAATTTTCTGAGACTTGGTATGTTAAGCCTTTGGCCCCCTCAAAGGACAATTTAAATCATTTTTTACAAATTATGAACTATGTAGAGCCTAGTAGATACAGTTAAAATGTACCACATCACGACATTCGGTGCGGAACTTTGAAGATGGCATTGCGACCTGCATTTTTTTTATCATCGTCTTGTGGCAAGCATGGTAATTTTGTGAATTGTACAAAGTAATTTACTAATATCAGAATGCTGACTTTCTGTTTAGTGTCCCTTTAAACTTAAGTGCATGTTTCTGACCAGGTGGTCAAAATTAATTTAAAGTCGCCCCACTATATACTATCTCATAATCGTAATATAGTTCTGGCATATAAAACCCCTGAATTTAAATTTCTGTTTCATTGGCTGTGGCATGTTATCACTTATATGTAATGCAACTGAATGCCACATTTCAATATGAGCACAACACAAAAATGTGCTCATTTGTAGACTTTGGGTGCAGTCAAAGCTAAGTAGATCGGTGCTCACAGCACACAGCCTAGCTAGGGTAAGGTCTTCCTAAAACACAAATATGATGATTGTAGCATTGACTGCACTCGAATATGCACTTTTTCACAGTTAGAATTGTTGGCAGAAGTTTGCACAGGGATGAATTAACTAGCACATATCGTGTCATAACTTGAATGCCTAGTGAATGCCATTGAAGTGCCCAGATTTCGGCATTCAATATTGTTCAGACACAGAAGAGACCGACATCCGCATTGCCCCTGTTAAACATTTTCCTTTTATTGTGTGCTCACGACCGACCCTGCCGTGACCCCGCTTTGTCATGCATTTTGTGCACAGAATGGCGTTTCCCGCAAACGTTTTCTCGAGGTAGATTCAACAGTGCCTACTGCTTGCATTGAGCGACCACACTTACTGAAATCGAACCTTTCGAGAGCATGAGTGTTTGTGATGGTGTATTCATTTTTTATCATAAAATATGTGCCTAACATTTGCCAAAAAGAAGATATCATTGAGCTTTTCAATAGCAGCCATAAAAACTACATAAAAAGAGCAAGTGAAAATGTTGATGTACAACATATATATAAATATAATCTGATGATGAACATCATTCATAAACAAGTTCATCACCAAATTTTTAAAGAAACATAGAGGGGTAGTGACACGTTTTTTCTCCAGTGGGACACATATATTTTGTTAGCACTCTGTTCTCTCATCAAAGGTTGTAATACCTTGACTGGACTTCCACAGTGCTTCACTGTGTGCTGGTGATGCTTCAGGCAACAACCTTAAGTGTCGCAATCAACTCCCAAAATAAGGCCCTGCTGACCATCATGATGTCAAACAATGTACGTTGCAACTGCCACCGAACCTCCTCACAGCTGAGTTGTGTTTGAAATGAAACGGTATGAATTTCGATGTAACCTTCATTGTTACCTTAAGCACTGGCATTAACAGATGTGACATCCCGACGGTGCTGACAGGACCACAGGTGTCGTGCAGTCCATACATTCATTTTAGTAACTCATGCCACAGCAAAAAACATGTTATTCAAAGGTCGCAGGTTCGAATCCTGTCGATGGCAAGTTATTTTTTCGTTCAGTTTTCTTTCTTCACATTTACTTTACAGTTACTTCTAATAACATCCCCAATACTTCCCTTATCATCATCGTCTGTTAGTTCTCATTACAATTTAGCAAAGAGCTATGTGTCGTAAAACGAAACTTCGATTGGTGTGATCATGTTGTATCAGTATGCCAGCTTGCTATTCTGGGCCAACTATAACTATGACAATCTAGGATGACAACTATGACAATCTAAAATGAGCCATTTCAAGTTGCTTCTGTTAATTTCTGAATATATGCCGATTAGCAGGTTGGTGAGTCATAAGATTGACGAACGAGCGTGCAAAAGACATGTTGATATGCACACAAAGAACATATTCACAAGCGCTCTAAGTGTTATTCTTACAAGAACTCTAAGGCAAATCAATTTAGGACACCCTGATAGATTATAACTTCAGAACATCTAGAACTTCAAAATTATCACCAACAGTGCCTTATTCATGATATAAACATAAATGCAGGACATGGCTTGCCACTCCAATAGGTCATTATTTGGTAACTAACCGATGACATGCCACCTGCTCAGTGTAGTTCTGTCACTAGTTCGCAACCGCTTCGTAATAAGATTGCTGCATTACATTGTTAGACAGAATAAAATGCTAGCTGCACTTTGGAGAAAATCGTATAGAACCAATCTCAAAGGTTATATTTTTGGGAATTCAAGTGCAAAATTCAATAGCAGGAGCCAGAAATGTGTATTTATCTTTGAGATGAACACGAGTGTTGTGAGACAGGGTGGTGATACGGTGATGTTGATGTCAGAGTGACATTTTCGTATTGTGGTGGTCATGTGCATTTTGCCTGCCCTGGTATAAATACATTCGCTTTCCCAAATAAAGAATAGTTGTAAGTCGGCGCTCTGCATGTTTCCTCTGTTTCTACCCGGTCGTTCTCACACTGTTGATTTTACTATGCATGTGAACCAGCTTGCCCAAGCCTTAACCTTAGCAATAAAATTTCTGATTTCTGAAAAGCACGCATGTTAGAAGCAGCTGTTCCTCTCATGCGAAAATTCTATTTAAGATATGTCCATTTACTGAGAGTCTACTGTACTATATGGGATTTTGGCATGTACCCACTTGGGGGCTTGGAACAGGGTTTGTGCAAGGGTCCATGGGTCTTTGAAATCCGAGCATTTTCTTGGTACAAAACAAGCGCTGCGAGGTTTTTAGAATGGCATTTTAAGAGTGCATGTTAGCTTAGTATTTTCCTGCGGTGTCTCTTTAATACTGGAACAAGCATTCAATTCTCTGGGAGAACACGGGACCTGTCCGATAGTGATAGTGTTTTATCAAAATAAATTAGGCTCACAGCATTACAGGCAGTGATTCGTGATGCTGATATTCGTTATGTGGCCATTTGGCCGTATTAAAAAATGGACACTCACAAGACTTGGGGCAGCTGATAATGCTCAAACAACCGTGTGTTTTGGCTGCAGTTCGTGGAGCTCAAAGGCATGGTGTTCAAGAAGTTTGCCAAGAACAACCTGTTCCAGATGGCTTGCAGTGATGTCCGTGAGCGATTCCACTACGTGGTGCTCCTGTTGATGGTGATTGTGCAGACAATGCGGGAGTACAGCTGGCAGCAGGGTGAGTAGTGATGGGTTAACCTCAAAGGACACTAGGTGGTCTAAATTTTCGGAGCCTAATACTAGTGACTGGGTAAAAACTACAGACTAGTTGGCCGGATGTTCTGAAATATGAGGCATGTGCGTCCCCGCAGAGCAGCTCCTGAACCTGCTAGGAGACTGCATGAAAGTCATGGCTGCTGAAGTTCTGGTCGATTGGGTCAAGCATGCCTTTGTCACGCGCTTCAATGCGATATCATGGCAGGTGAGTGCTGTTCAGATTTAACTTCCCTATAGTGTTTAAGTTTATGCTGTTTCTTCATTTCGTTAAATTCCCATTCGGAGGTTCATTGGGCCTGTATTCTTCAGCACAGTGCGGTATCACACTATCCAAGCTATTTGTACTTCGTCGATTTCGATCCAGTTAAAAGTTTTCCAAGCTTGCTAAATTCAGCCTTTGGCACCTTAACATTTACAAAAACTTCTATCAGTTGCTGTCAAAACACATAATGTCAGCATATTTCACTTGTGCAAGAGCTTTGGGGCTTTGTAGCTTGTATGGCTTTGCATCAATCGCAGTGCAAGCCGTATCTATCTCTTTTTCATTCTTTTTTTATTTTTGCATGTTTATTTGAAATAATGATGACCTACGCCTGTTCCGCTTGTGGTATATATAGGTAGTAAATGTTTTTCTGATAAATATAGACACACAAAAGTCACTGCTCACTCAGTTGTTATGTGTCTGTCTCATTCTGGGCCAATTTAGCAGCGTTAAGACTATGCAAATTTGGCAATTTCACTCAGTTTACCCCTTCAGTTACGAAAAATACACTTTTTTCTTGCTAATAAGCCATTCTCTATCAGCAACAGTGACGTTAGGTAATGTATAAAGGTTATGTACACAACCCAAATGAAAAAGTCACTTTTTCATGCTAATAAATCGTTCTCCTGCAGTAAGAGTGACATTTGGTAATGTATAAGGGTTACATACACAAACCAATCAGGACATTTTTCTCTTTAGTATACGTGTGTTTCCCGAAACATTTAATGTGGGGGAAACACATGTAACTATGGGGTTATTTCACTGTGGTGTTTCATGTGCATTAGCACAGACGGTAGCTGCGCAAGCTTCTCTGCCTGCTTAGTTGATGGATTTGTCTGAATTGTGACTATGGCTGTGCAGATGGTCCATTTTAAGTGACATGCGGTTGAGTGTGATGACAAAACTCATTCAGTGAAGCCTTTTCTTTTTCACGTCATATCACAGAAAACTATTTTATTTTACACAGTGTCCACTGTATGATTCGATTATCTTTCATTGCTCAAAAGGTACAATTGGCAGTGGTCAAATTCGGTTACCCATGCATGCAGGTCTACCAAGAGTATCTGGCCAGTCTGGCTTATGACCTGGCCAGTAGCAAACTAAACACGGTGAGTCTGTATTGAAGTATGGGGTCTGTCCGTAAAGTAGTGACACCGGGTCTCGTAAAAAGTGTTTATTAATCCAATAGGTCCATATTATTTAAATTCTTCAAAATAGTTTCCTTTAGTGTGGATACGCCGATGTGTGATTCCCATGCTGAAAAGGCTCTCTGAAAGTGAGTTGTCGTGACCTTTCAAACACTCCATGACAGCCCATTAGATGGCGAGAATACCATTGAAGTAGTGGCCATTCAAGGTTCTCTTGAGGTTTGAGAACGGGAAGCACATCAGGGTTGTATCGGGACTGCATCAGTGCTGGTGTAAGCTTAGTAGATTTTTTTCTGTTCCTAAACCTCGAGAGAAGCCTGAAATGTCGCCATTTTAACAGTGTTCCCGCCATCCAAAAAGCCATCGCCGAGCGTTTTGGAAAGGTCATAAAAGACAACTTTCAGGAAGCCTTTGCCGCGTGAGAATCACGTTTTACTCGGTGTACTGACACTCTAGGAAACTATTGTGAAGTAATTGAATAATTTGTACTGATCGAATGAGTAAATTATTCTCATCAAACCTAGTCTCATTGCCTACGGACAGATCGAGTGTGTAGCTGCAGAACAAGGTCTCAGCGAGACGCTTCTTACAGGCACCCTCGGACCACGGGGATCTGGTGTCACGCCGGCTCGGCTTCACACCTTTGCCTTTAGCAGCCCTGGTGTTGCGAGTGATGGCGTGTCCCCCTAGCTCATTGCGACTAGCCATTCTCGCATATCTCTGGTTAGTGACATCTTCAACACCGTCTATTCTGTGTACTAGCAGCTTACAACCAAAACATAAACCTAAGCTCCACCCGCAGCTATCACTGTTCTAGCCTGAGAGAATTTGCGTAGAGGCTCATTCCAATTGTGTCCACGCATTTTCGTGACATCAAGCACTTTATGCAGTCTTCAGAAACTTGATTTTTCCCGTAAAGACACGATTGTGTAGCTAGTTCTGCCTGAAAACTTCAATGCCTTGGCATATTTAAAGAAATTTTGACATCACTGCTTCATCAAGCGTGATAATTTAAGAGGCTCCTGCAGCACCTTTTTGCATGGTCAGAAAACACTGTCTAACAGATGATAGAGGCTCTTCAAGCATGCGAGCCAAACATTATAACGCAGCATGCGGTCTAGGACTTACAATACATCTTTTAAATCGACTACAAGTAGTTACCTCTTCTCTCTACAAATGGTACCATGTAGCCGAATGACCACACCGATACATCCAAATTTATGAGCATTGGCTGACTTGATTCTGTTAAACGGAACCCGAGGGGACCAGTAAAATGTGTTTCGTTTAAGAGGACATTTTTTTATTGAGAGTACATAATTCAAGCTCGAAACCAATAGTATTAGAGGCTGCTGTTCTATTTAAGCAACAATTTTGGTCAAGGAAGTTTTGTTTAACAAGACTATAGCTACTGCGGGAAGCTACCTTGCAATCGTACGATCGTACTTAATGTAAGCCACATTTCCGAGGGGGGGGGGGGAGGGGAGGATCAAGGTGATGTGCACATGACGTAACTTCCATCCTCCGTGCCATCTCTCTCTGTTTAGTTTCCAGCGCGCTTGCTGGCATGATAGAAGAGAGAAAGCAATTACAGCGTGCGGCAAATCTCTATACCTCTGCTCGTACTTGACGGATACTACTAAACATTTTTGCAGTGGTCGATCCGTGAGGCGGTATAGTGAAGCCATTCGATGGTTACTGGGAAAATTGTCAGAGGTCCCTTTTAAGTTAGAACTACAAACTCTTTCATTCCCATTTTTAGTAGTATTCAGATTAGCAAATGAAAAATACTTATAGTTTGAACAGAAACCAGCTAGCGCAGTAGAATGGCAGGTGTCCCGTGGGCAGAGCCTATATTTTTTCTTTGGTTGTAAGTAGAGCTGCGTGATTAGCAAAATTTTGGATGTGAAGGGAACTCGAATGTTTAAGTGTTAGGTCAGATCAAATCGAATATTTCTCTAATATTTGTAGAACATTTTTCTGATGATTCGAAGCGATATGGCAGAAAAAAAAAGTTGGAGAGTATTTTTAAGGCATATTCTTATCCGATAGCAACATGAAAGTGTCCGTTTAGCTAGGTTGATGAGGCGTTAGTAAGGTGGTGTTTCGTAGTCTTATCAGGAATAAGGATATGCAAAGGCCGAATAGTGTTTATGTACATGATTTGGTGCAACTGAAGTGTTGCTGACAACACTCTACACTAGAAAGGCAGAGATTCAGCCTCTCTCCTCTTTCAATTTCTGTGGAAGCCCAACTGATGCGGTAGACAAGGTATACCTCTTTCGAGTCCACAGTTCCAAATAAGTTTTGTAGACATTAATATATATATGAATATCTGAAATTTTGAATGCCAAAACATCTTCCGCGTTCATTTTTTTGGACTTCCCAAATATCTGGCTCAAAACAGCATTAATCAAGCCTCCACTTCTGCCACATCAATTATCTCTGTGTTGGAACCAGCATTTCTTTTTTTATTCAATACATTTGCGATCGTAGTAGAACCTGAAAGAGAGCTTTGCTGCAAGTACGAGGGTGTAGTGGGGTAAAGCACACTAAAAAAAAAATTTTGAAGGGGTCACAGTCAATCTGATGTTGACTGTATTTGTCTTCTGGAATTTCGAATATTAAAATTTCAGTGCGAATCGAATGGTAAGCACTATTAATGAAATATTCGAATTTTGGAATATTTGCATAATTCTAGTTGTAACATACTGTAGTGCTATTTTTGCAAAATGTTGTCCAAAGCTATTAGCAATATCTACAACACTGTTTCTCAGCGATGAATAGTATATATGTGAACTTCTATGGAACAACAGTTTATCGCCCTGCTTCGAAGCCCCTTCGTACCGAAAGATACAGTGTTTAGAGTATATTTGTCTGGAAAGCAACATGTATCTTGGTAACAGTTCTTTTATTTTCCCTGTTGTGCCATATAGCTGTGAGTCATGGAACCGGGGGAAATATGAAAGTTTTTTGTTTTTGTTCTGTGGAGCTGGCATCTTAAGAGTCCCATGAGCAAAAAAAAATTACCTTTCAGGTACAGCTGAGAATAATCACAAATGGTGTTTTGGTGCAAAAGGTTGTCAAAGAAATGTAGTTATTTCATGTAGGCTATTTTCCACACGGACGCTGAAGTATAAGCTCATGGATTAATGCAAAAAAAAAGTGAAAGGTAACAGAAAACGAGGTCAGCCAGTCTTCAGCTGGTAAGATGCTATTCTTCAGGCCGCATCGAAAAATCTTGATGAGTAAAGATAAAAAAGAAGGAAAAAAAAGACTTATCTCATATTAGTAAATCACTCTTCAACAATTCCAAAATCATCGCGTTTTTCATGAGAACACCGAAAGCAAGAAAACGGTAATCAAGAAATTGTGCAAAAAGAAATTGTGGCTGGGAACAACAGCTTGAAGTTTCTGCGCCGTTGGTCATGACGTCGTCAATTGAAACGGCGTCTAATATGTACCACGACTTTCCTAACCTATAAAAATTAAGTACTATCAGCGTCAAATGAAACCCGAACAGCGGCAAGCCTTCGCGATGGTATTCGCAGCGAAATCGAGCTATAGGTGGCAGCACTGCCCCACAAAAGTATGGATAGGCGGTCGGCGGCGCGTATACAAGTACACGCAGCGACACTTTGTTGCGTGCGGTCTCAGCCGATTGTCGGCAGATAAAATGCGTTGACTACAGTTTACTGTTAATGTCTACGCTCTTTTCTACTGAATAGGTGCACTACTCTTATGCAACATTAACATTGCCCGCGAATTAAGCGCATTCTGCCTTTCATAGGGATGCTCGCCCTGAGTGACTCTCTTCACGCTTTCGCACTAAATCACGTCTTTGCTGTGTTGTTTGTACGTGGTTAGCTTGTGTTCCACCTGCTACGCACTGCTGTAGCATGACTGAACTACTTATTTACATCTTTGTCATCTGGATACTACAAAAAAGAGAGAAAGAAAGATCGTAGAAAGCCCACATATCTGTGCGATTCTTTCAGTACCACCATTCGCACTTTATGCGCATATGATTATTTTTTCTCGATCTGATCACCATGAAATGTGGAACAGTCGATAAGTCTAATCAGGAAAGCTTAGTGGCTGACGGCGCTTTGCGCTACACTGCATTTACCACGTGTACGGACATGTTCTTGCACCAGTAGAAATCTTATAAGAGTTCAGCAGAAAGCTTTCATCGATCGATTATGTGCATGATGGGTTACAACAAAGGCCTGGTTAATGGGACAAGCACGTTGTTTTGTTTTTTTTTCAGACAAAAATTACCATTGTTTTTCATCAGTCACTAACAATGCCACACAAAAACTGAAAACAATGCAAGAAAGATGAAATTTTCAGTGAAATTATACGACGTTATATATAGGACATGCTGCCTGAATTAATTTTCAACGTCCGGGCAAGTGTTCCCGAATCTAAGCACATGGTTGCGCACGGTAACTCTGTTTTAAGTAAAGTGTAAGTACCGAAGTCTCACAGTTTGTGTGATAGTAATATTTCTATGTAGTGGTACGACGGCCAGATAAACACAACTAAGGCTCCTCGCATGATCGTTAAACTACATTGTCGTAGTTGTATGCCTACCAACAGCACGCAAATGCATGGCCAAGTGCTTGACTTTTTTTTTACAATCGAGTCGCTATAAAACACTGCATTCACTCAGCATTTAATAGTCCTCGTGTTTGGGAGGATGCCAAGTGCATTTTGTAATGTGCTAGAAACAGAAAGCAGCACCCACTCTGAAATTATTCTGGTGAATGGAGGGTATGACGACAATAAACAGCACTCTAGAAAGTTGCACTCGCCGATCTTATTAATAAGCATTAGCAGCCGAGAAAGACCAAATGCTTTCGTACGTCGTTTCAGACATACGTAAAAACAGTTACACTCGTGCTGACATGACCGGACAAATCACACTTTGAGAATGTGCATGATGTATGTGCACATAGAAACACGACGTGGCTAGCAGACGACGCAAGGAGCAATCCACACTTTACCATTTCGCCCGATTGCTGCCAGGCGGCGACTCTGCTCGATCCCGCGACCAATAGTGCTCGCCGTCCACTTATCACTACGAACAGGCACGCATATATGCGCAAAGCTGCTGAACAGGATGCGCGCACCTGTCAATGGTGATAACTGGATGGCACGCACTACACTATCGCAAAGGCTTGCCACTGTTCGGATTTCATTCGACACTGATAGTACGTTGGCTTCTGATGGGGTGGGCCATAGACTTAAAAGAGTACCGACATGCCTTCAGGCTCCCTGAAAAGGACATTTTTTGTTTCCACGGTGTGCACTCTCAACACTCTTCTCGCACCAGAGCCAGGCATCACGTATAAAATACTTTGATCTAGAACTTTTCGATGCCTAGCATCGCCAAGCCAGTCCCGCTGCAGTGAACATTATCACAAGTCAACACAGTTTGCTAGGTTTTGGAAAAGTGCGCACTGCAGCCAGCCTAAATAGCTGTCAGTCTCTCTGGATGGCTATTCACTCATCGTTGTTTATGTGAACTATGTGAGTGACAGCAAACTGATAGCTGTTGCTAGTATGTGGTGAGTTTGTCTTTTCGTGACGTCAAGCTTCTGATGACACTTCATTGCCAAGCCATCTCCTCGATACTGGAAGCAAAATTGCTGTTTTAAGATAGCGACATCAAAAATATGTTCAATGCATTTCAAAGCACTATGACACGCTTTTTAGGGTTCTCGATACCTGTGTTTTTATTTAGAACGACCCGAAAATGTTTATAATTCCTGTAGTACTCCTTTAACATACCAAGTTTCAGGAAGTTTCATTGAACCATTGCTGCCAATATGATGATGAATAAACTTTATTTTCGTATCCGGCATGTTTGTGGTCCGGGCTAGACCGCACAAGGAGGTACCGGGAGACTTTGTCTCTGTACAGCCTCCCTGGCCTGCTGGATAGCCCATTTTTGGTCTTGAACCTCCGAGCTGAGCAGCACAAATTGCCACTGCTCCCGGAGGACCTCAGGAGAACTTGTTGATAAGTTGGGGCATTCCCATAATATATGTTTGTAAGACACCTTTTCTGTTACACATAGCTTACATTTATTGTCCGGGTATAAGTTTGGGTAGCTCCTGTGGAGGATGCACAGGGTTCGGGTAGCAGTTCGTCTGTAGCTGTCGGTATTCCGATGCTTCTTGCCTGTTTAGACTCGGATGATGGGCGGGAAAGACGCGCCTTGCTTCTCTGTAGTGCTGCATGTATTCTGTGTAGCTTGTAAATTCGGTCTTTGTGTGGTACGTCGGCGGCGCCGAGGATGATCATCGAGCGGTGTGGTCAGGTTGCGCGGCGGGTTCATTCTCGCGACAACTCATGAGCCAGCTCGTTAGGATTGGGTGTATCAGTCTGTGTGCACTGGGAACCATACGAGGTATTTCGGTTCATCTACTTTGTGTAGTTCTTGGTTATTAACGAGGATTCTGAGGGCTTGCTGTGAAATCCGTCCTTGCGTAAAATTTGATTGCTACTTGCGAATCACTTAGTATGAATGAGTGGTTGTTGGAGGTGATAGCCATGGCTATGGCTACCTCCTCAGCCTCCTCTATATTGTTTGTTATGACAGAGCACGCATTAATACAAATGCCGGACGTGTCAATCACGACAGCAGTGTGAGCTTTTTGTTCAGGGTATGGGCTAGCATCTACAAAAAGAGATTTACTGTTCCTGCCGTGTGCTTTGAGCAGTGCTTTTGCTCGGTGTTTTCTGCGGTCTGTGTTGATAATGGTGAACCATTGCTGCCAATATACAAAAAGTAATATGTATTTGAAACCCATTGCATCTTTTGCAGATGAATTTAAAATTTAAACCTCTGCCCTCATTTTTACCTCTATCAAAACCTATGATGGTTAAAGTAATGACATTAGATGTCTCAGAGTGCGATTTATCTGTCTAAATCAGTTGTTTCACTTCAGTGTCTCTTTAAATACTTGTAGCGAATAGTTGCTGCCAGCAGCTCAGTCATGATGGTAATTTTCTCTTGTAACTCTCGCTCAAAGGAATTGTGCCGCGTCGCCACTTACAAATGATGAATGGTATTGCAGTCTGTGCAGCATGAAGGTGCTGCTGAACCTGGTGATCCTAGGCCTTGCCTGCAGCATTGTTGAGAAGCACCGGCAGACATTGCAAGAAGACTCCCCGGTGAAAAAGCCACGAAGGCCCCAGTCCTCAGAATAAATATCCATCATCACACACCGAGCACGGCACGTTTACATCATCATGCAGCGCCGAGGCGATTTCGAGTTGGTCGATGAGTGTTCATTAAAGAAAGTATTGTTGCACGTTCTTAAATTGAGAGGTTTATGTGAACAATTTGTGAACACTGTTCAGGAGGTATTGATAGGCTGGTTGATCACTCATTATTGCATATTTTAATTGCAGCACCTTTGTTAAGGCAGATGAAATAATGTAAACCATATAAGCACTCGCATTTGTGGTTTTTGTTATTTACCAGCTCATCTATGCCTTACTCAGATGGTTGTTATTGAAATGGTATCGTATATTTCAAGTCGTGAAGAATCTTTTTTTTTTTATATAGAAACGCTTATAGTGATAACTGTTGGAGCAGCATAGTGAATGTGGATTCACACAGTCGCATGTACAATCGTGAGCAATATGAACTCGAACACGCGAATGCGTGTCGAATAGCCTCAAACCCTATATTGGCTGATTTGCAACTAGCCGCTGTGACAAACAAAATGAAAAGGGCAGTGTGCTTACGCTAGCTGTTGACACTCCCTGCTCGATATCGTTGCTGCAAAACGCAGCTTATAGTAGTGTGTCAAGGGCTAGTGGCTGCTGTTGGTGATATGAATTCACATCAAAGCGCACAGCCATAACCAGTTGACCTAGCAGGCTATGCAGCTACACAAATATCGGCTGTGACGTAGCCGGTTGCGATGCACAGGCCGTGCTTTTATTGCATCTAGATGGTGTTCGCTGAGCATTTTGATACGCATCCCTGTTTTCGGTGAATTTTTCATTTTCGTGTTATCATTGCTAGCGGCGGAAGGCACACGATAAACTGCTATTTCACAGCAACGATCATGCGAGTATAGTAATATGGAAGTGCCAACAGTCAGCAGAAGAGCACCCTCCTTTCCCTCCAGTTTCGGCAGTGCCAGCCTCGTATCACATTATCTGTACTTTGAGGCCCTTGGCGATACACTCGCACGTTCGAACTCGTATTGCTCACGATAGTACGCTAAAATGGTAGCACTCATGTAAATGTAACACAAGTACCAGGCTATTAGCAATTGTCTCGAATAGGATAATTTGGTTATTGTAAGGGTTCCCTGCAACATTTGAACATGATCAGAAATTTCTCACGGCTCCTGAAAACATGCAAGCCAAACATTATAACTCAGCTCGTGGCCTGGAATTCACAATTCTCGAACTCATCTAGGAATTGCTGACTCTATCCTCGACAAATTATGCCATAAACCCTCATGACCTGCGCCATAAACCCGAAGTCCACAGCGCTGAGCTGATTTGACCATCATGAGCTGCATAGATACCGTGGCTGTTGCGAAATGTAGCCACACTGAAAGTGCCTGCACATTTGAAGAAAAATTTAAAATGCTCGTTAATGAACAGACATAGCTGTTGCCTCTTTGACATTCCTCATCTGCATAGCTTTCAGCACACTTGCCGGTACAAAAAGAGGGAAAAAGTGCTTGAAGTGAGCAGCAGATCCCAGTAACTCAGCTCATACTCGGCCGATTTTAAAGGGTTCTGCAACACTTTTTTAAATAACCTTGATCTGTAATAGATTCAGTGAAAGAGCTTATTGCCTCACAATTTGACTGGCACAAGAACTTTTAGAATCCGTTCAGTCCGAGCGAAGTTACAAAGATTTGTTGCAAGCTGCCATTCCTTTCTCTCTTCTTCGTACCGACGAAAGTATGGGAAGTTAAGCAGGGAAGGATGGTACGGGGGGAATAAGGTACATCACATGCACCTTGTGACCTTGAGCACTTTCTCTTCGAATGCGCAGCTTTTCAGAACGATTGCATGGACACATTGCGATCTCCCGCTGCGGCCCCTGTAACTCACGAGTGCGCCTTGTTCAAATCGGCTATTGGCGTGATGCTTCGGCCTATGGCACTATGATTTTTAATATATGGCATCATTTTTAAAAGCAGAGAAAGCGATTTCAAGCCGACTTTAAGAATTTATTGTAAATTCCAGTCCTTTCTTCGTCCGTGTCGTATTCGCGCATTAAACATGAAGTATGTTAAACCAACAAGCCTAGTCTTCTATTCTTATATAATATTTGTCTTGCCTGTTCTTGTGTGTCTCAACTACCAATCGGCAGTGTTTTCTGACCATGCTGAAAAAGTCTATTCGTAATTGGCAATAACCTTTTTTTATGAAGCCATTTGATAATAATTTTAAAAAGTTTCAGTGTCTCTTTAAGCAAGCTATTCAGGTGTCTTGTCTAGCGCCGCCAGCATCACACCAGGAGGAATACTTCACACCAGGAGGAATACCTAATTATGCAAACCATGCACTTGTCTTTGAGCCACAATACAAGGCTTAGAGCCACAGTTTATGAACTTTCACTGTCTTATAATCCAATTTTGTGCACTAAATCCAGCATTCATGCTAACATGTATTTCATAAACCGTGAGACTTCATGATGTGACATGGTAGGATATGCATTACAACCTTAAGGTGATTTCCAGTTCACAAAGATGCAAAAGACGGCATTTTAGCGGTTGCACTCATTGGTGTTTGCACACCGGACAAGACTACACCTCCTGTTCCCGGCACAATACGCTGACCGATGCTAGTTCTAGCTGTGAGATGGTGGGAGCATGCGTAAACGTTGTCAAAGAGTGAACTAAAAATCTATGTTTGCCCGTTCTGCACTCCTGTTCCCTGAAGCATTGGCTAATGTTGCTAACCATCTCTTGCCACTTTGATCTAATTGCATTGGTGAGAGAATGTGGCCACTACCAGGTCGACGAATTCCCGTGACAATAAAACAGTTCTTGCAAGATCCCTTTGCCGAAATATGTTTTCTATCTCTCACATTAGTTAGCTAAACTTTAATAATGCCACAGAATCACGTGCAATATCGGATCCATCACGCGTTACAAGAATGGTGACGCACTTGCATACGTAGTATGCAGCTTTTGCCTGTTTAGTAGCATCATACACGTGAATATATAGCTTCTCTGGCAACTTTTACTTCAATGCGATCGCGCGATAGTGCAGCCCATGGTAAAGTACTTGTGTAATGCATATCTGTGGCCTGATTTGGAAACCACGGAATGAAAAAACTGCTGCTTTTTATTCGCAACGCTAAAACCTCTGCTTGCAACACGCGCCAGGCAAGCCACGCTCATGTAATTGCGTGCTTGGAGTATAATTCGAAACGCGCTTTCATTAAGCCAGTTTGAGTTAAATGATGCACTGCAGGGTAAGGAAAAATTTGAGAGTCGCACTTGTCGAGCCAGGTGTGTGGAGGTGGCATCAACACCCTCCCTGTCTAATTGTATTGGTTTTACAACTAAGCATATACAAATGCAAGCACGAACATGCATAAAATGTAGCTGAAACTGCCATTCCCAGACGAAAAATTTTGGCTTCCGCTCGCTCAACTGCTGTTCCGGACGTTTTGGTACACGTGATGCAACGTCGACGATCACGATCAAGATAAAAAGAATAGAAGAGAGAAGGGTGAGGGAGATGGTTTATGGTGTACGTGTACAATTTGCAAGCCAAAATTCGTTCCCGTAAGCGTTGAACCTGTTTGGGCGCATGTGCTGTCTGAGCGGAAGTTGTAGATTTTTTTTTTACATTGTCACTCGAACGATCCTGGAAATATCAAATAAAATGTCGGTGATGAAAAGCTACAATATGCGCACGTGTTTTGTTCTGACACGAGACTGGACTTTTAAAACGCGCGCTCAAGGAAAGAGAGGAGAGCCCTCATGACAACTGACGTAATCTTGAGGTCAGCAAACGTCACTTCACTCACAGCCAATCTCCACGGCTTCACACCGCGGACAGTGCGCCGCCCGCTGTCCGCGCCGTCACACACCCGTCAACCGTACGAAGAAATGGACGTCGACTGGGGCGTCGACTGAATTGCCAACACCGGTGGTGGACCTTTCTGGTCAGGAACTGAACGCGGAGAGCCTGGAATCACGGCTCTCAGATGCAGCTTCATCTCAAGAGGACGACGGCCAGGCGCCCCGGTCGCTGCTTCTTGAGCGCAACAGGCTGGACAGGCTGCCATCGGCAGCCCTGGCGCCCCTGGGACTGCGGTTGCACACGCTTGACGTGAGCAATAACGGATTGACCAGTTTGGGCGAACAACTACCGTGCCCTTCTCTGCGCGTATTGTTGGCGCGAGGCAATCGTCTCAACGAGCTGCCCAAGCAGTTGCCGTCGCTACTACAGGTGCTCAACTTGTCGGGCAACCAGTTCACCACACTGCCCGATCAGCTGACGCAGCTTGCCGAACTTCGCCACCTCTACATGGGTGGCAACTTGCTGACCCAGCTACCGGACTGCGTCGGAAACATGCTCAGGTAACAGCCACTGTCAGCCGTCAGCTGTCATTGTAATACATACTAGCAATTCAATGACGCAAGTTGTTGGTAAGTAAGTGAGGATGGCGCCCTCTCGACTCGGAAGCCGACTTTTTCGCGATATGACAGCAGCTGCACGTGTTTGCCTTGGCAGACTGCGTGCGCAGTAGCTTTGATTGATTGGCTTTTGCTATCTGCTCTGGAAAGCGAGCGCGCAGCGTGACTCTAGCGAGATATATACGCAAATACTGAGACTACATTCTTTATAAGTCATTTAACTAACGAGGCTTCTGCAGTGTGACCATGCGTGTGTTGAATATTCAATCCATCTTTTCATCTGAGGGTCCCCACAAACCGCAGCGTAAAGCAGCATTTTGTTCGCACATGCTACCTTTCTCACTCATCATTTCATCATCTCAGACCGGTGGCAACAGTTGTTTGCAAAGTTGGCCTGCAATGTGCTGGCCGCAGGAGGGTTTTTTTTTTTTTTTCATCTCTGATGAAACGATGCTCATGTTCTCCTGTGAAGAGCCAAACATGTTAACCAGCATCGGATATGTGTGAGTGCAGTGTCTTTTAAATGCGCGCTGCATCAATTATTTTCACAGGAAATAAGTGTTTAGTAGACATTTAGTGTTCAGAATGCATTCGTTTAATGGTCTTGCTGTACCAGCATAGTCTACGCACCATTCCTAACAACTGCAGCCGGTCTGAGAACTGGCTAACCTCCCAGTCCTTCCTATTTCAATCCTCCTCCTCTTAACAACTGCAGGGGCTAACTTGATAAAAGTAATAGCTAGCCTCTTCTGTACATATGGGCTGAAGGTTACTTTTAAATCGCAAATTCAGCTCTCTAGACATCACGTGCCTGCGAGATGCAAACATTATACAAGCACATTCAACTTGGTGCTTGAGAGAACTGAACCTTGTAATATCCTTGTTCATTTTGAAAGCGATTCTTGTGGGGTTTTTTTTTCCTTTCTTGTATGTGGGTTCACGTGTTTATGTGAAAACCAAAAGATAGGTGCCATAGATTGTGCACTAGTGCATATCGTGCTTGCTTTAGCTTCTAGCAGTTTGAGAGACATTTCTGGAGTGGATAAAAATGTGGTTTAGTTTAGTGCAAATTGTTTTAAGCACCGTGTCATTTGCCTTTTTTGCGAGCTACCTGCATCGCAGTGTTCACCAATGGATGTGTCAATTCTCAAGCAGAGGAATGAGGAAAAGTCTCCTATAAAGTATTTTGGGGAGTAAAATTATTCCAGAGTGCATTTTTTTTTGCTATGCTTGATTAGTGCACTTGCTACAGATTATAGAACACAAGAAATTATCAAAATTCTTTGATGTTCAGCTATTTAGATATTTAGAGTGAATAAATTAAAATTTAAGACACATCACTCTCAAACATACTAACCTATAAGGTATAATGTATACAAAACATTTGTAGGCTTCTTGACATGCAAGTTTCACATAAGCTGTAAATTCGGGTAACTTTTGACCTTTTGAAATGCAGTTTACTGAACAGAACAGAACAGAAGGTTTTATTGTGCTAAATAAAGAAGAATACATGTGCATGATATACAGAAAGAGGTCCCATAGTCGGAGACTGCAAGGGGACCTCTTGTACAATGTAGAATTGAGAATGATTGTGATGTACATAGCAGGGGGACAGAGCTACAGTAAAATGCAATTGAAACAAATAAAGTAAGAATATACCCTTGTAATCTCACAGAAACAATTTAAAAGTAAGAATAACGTGCTAACTTCAATGACAAGTGATTACAGAACGCAACTCACAATGAACAGGAATCAATTAAGAAACAGCAAAACAGGCTAGTTAGTTGACATGATATGATTTTTTAACTTCGATTTAATTACCTTCAGGGAACGGCACACTTTAATGTTGGGAGGCAAACTATTCCAAAAAGAAATTCCGGAAAAATGAATGGTTTGTTTGCCATAATTGGTGCGAACTTTTGGCAGTAGAAAGTTATTGTTAAGGGCAAACCTTGTGACATTGTTATTTGAGAGAATGGTAGTAAAATGTGGAAGCTGGTTATTTATAGTTCTATACACGTAAATACCAAGGTTATATTTAACTAGCTCAGATACAGTTAATATATTGTTTTCATGAAGTAGTGACTTAGCGTTAGAGAGATATGAGCTTGACGTGAGAATTCTTATCGCTTGGTTTTGAATTGTCTGAACTGAAGTAAGATGAGTGGTGTATGTGTTGCCCCATGAAGTAATACAGTAAGAAATGTGCGAATGAACAAAAGAAAAATACAGTGACATAAGTATTGATGGATTGAAATAAAGACGAGATTTAATCAGTAGTCGAATGCCATACGTCATTTTTTTCCTAACATATGCAACATGTCGGTGGTATTTCAAGTTACTGTCGAGTTCAACGCCTAGGAATCTAGAGCAGTCGCTCACAGGGATGTCATTGCGCGCAATTATAACACGAGGGGTAGAAGGTAAGGGTTTTTGTGGTGAAGAGAAGACAACAAATTTTGTCTTAGACGTGTTAATTTCTAACATGTTATTACTGCACCACCGAACGAGTTGTGCCAGATCAAAGTTTAGTTTTCCAGTTAAGGATGTAATGCTGCTATCGGAGTTAAAAATTGTGGTGTCGTCGGCGTATAATATACAACTGGATGAAGAAAGGCATTTTGGCAAATCGTTAATATAGAGTAAAAACAAAAGGGGCCCCAGAATGGACCCCTGTGGTACACTAATATTAGTTAATTTGGTTGACGAATATGCATTAGAAATTACCACCTTCTGTGTCCTGTTGCAGAGATAGCTACGCAATAATAGTAGTGTTGGACCAGTTATACCAAATGCTTCAAGTTTATTGAAAAGAATGTGATGATCGATTGAATCAAAAGCTTTAGTTAGGTCGATGAAAACACCGCCCGCATAGTAACCGTTGTCAATAGCCTTTTTTAATTGGTCAGTAAGTGAGATTTGCGCAAGGTCACTGGAGTAGCCAGAACGAAAGCCAAATTGACAAGGCGATAGTAAATTAAATTTGGTCAGGTAATTTGTGAGTTGTGTACAGATCAGTTTTTCAATTACTTTTCTCAAAAAGGGTAAGATGCAAATGGGGCGGTAGTTATTCAATAACGAAGCATCTCCTTTTTTATGTACGGGGATTATTTTACCCTGCTTCAGTTCATGCGGGAAAACACCTGTTCTAAACATTAAATTCACAGTTGAAGAGAATACATTTGATATAAAGTGAGCTACCATTTTTATATGGGAGGGGTGAATGCCGTCAAGGCCAGCACTCGTCATTTTTAGGGTACCTATAACGCTAATTATTTCATCTGGAGTTGTGGGAAACAGAAAGAACAAATGGGGTAGGCGATCTAAGGCCATTTCGTTTAATAAAGGTAGGGTGTGCTCGACGTTAAAGAAGAAGTTTGCAAACTGATCGGCGATGTCAGCTGGGTCACTATAAGTGGCATCATTATGAAGAACTGTAGCTATTTTATCCGAACGTGGGTTCCTATTTAAAAAGGAATTAATGATGTCCCATTTTTTCTTCGTACTATTTCCGGCCTCGGTTATCTTTTGCGCATAATACTTTCTTTTAGCTTCCTTTAGCTGGGTGTTTATTAGGTTGCAAAATTTTTTATAGCGAGCAAGCAAATTCGTATTAAACGGTTGCCTTTTAGTTTTTTTGTAGAGGTTGTCACGTTTGCGCATGTTTGTTAGTAATCCCCTCGTCAGCCAGGGATTTGCTGGTGATGCGATTATTTTTTTGCATTTTTGCTTATCTGTACAAGATTGAACATGTGATAGGAGCAAGGATGAAAAGAGGGTGAAAGCTTCTTGTGCATCAGCTTTAAGATAAACTTCAGACCAGTTAGTGTTAGCAACGGTATGAATATATTTCTGCTTGTCCAATATATCACAATACAGGAAGGTGAATCACGTTTTTCAGTGGAATCGAAACGCAAAAGTATGGGATAGTGGTCAGTAAGATTAATTTCTAGCACTCCAGCGTCTGGTGCCGTGAGTAGATTTGAAAATGCATGATCAATGAGGGACCCATTGCTAATGCTGTTTGGTCTAGTTGGAAGACTGATTAAAGATTCATAACCGAAGCTGTTTAGTGCAGCTAGATAGTTGATTGAGTTAGGTGACAAATCATCTAGTAAATTAATGTTGATGTCACCCATGATAATAGCATTTTTATTTTCAAGGGAAATAAAATTTAGGGAGCGTTGCAAGTTTGTGCAAAATTCAGTAACTGGAGAAGACGGTGAGCAGTATATACAGCCTAATATGAATTTTTTGTTATCTATATTAAGAAAAGTATGCTCAAACTCAAGCCAGACCGATTCACAGTAGAGTGTGTTTAATTATAGATCAAACCTTCGTTTACAGGAAGCGTTAGAAGATACGTATGTGGCTGCGCCACCATGATTACTAGATAACCTGTGACTGTAATATGGCGTGTAGGAAGGGAAACCGAACAGATTTCCATCGTCTTCTGATAACCAAGTTTCTGTAACTGCAATTACTGAGAAAGGGTTGGTAAACGTGGAAAGAAGACTTTGAAGTTCATCAACATGTTTTCGTAGGCTTCTGGCATTAAGATGAATAAAAGAGCGGGGGTTACTCCCTAAAAACGAGTTTAGTTGCTCAGGTGACATAAGAGCCGACGAGGAAGGCATGGCTGGCGCATTATGTACAATGGGAGCCAATTAGTTTATTTTAGCCAGATCAGTTTATTTTAGCCAGATCAAGCTGTGATATTTCATTTTATGAAATAAGCTGAGCTGTGATATTCATTTTATGCAGAGCTACAGCTTGCTAAACTATTTTTGTTCCTGTGGTTTCTTTTTATGTATATTTTCAGCAGTCATGTAAAAAAACTTAAGGCTGTGAATAGAGAGTTTTGCTTCTAACTGTAGAATTGGGTCTTTTCGATTCAGGCCCATAGCCAGGCACTTTTTTTTTTTTTTGAGTGGGGGGGGCAG